CTACGTCGCGCGTGGCACCGTTGTAACTCGGACCGGACCCAATGCGTCCCTCCCTTTTAACCAAATCCACGTATTCCGCTTGACCTTCGGCCAGGCTACATCATGTAGTGCGACCGACGAAGCCACTTGGAGATGCAAGTCCAATGTCTCTCGCCGGCAATGTCTGATGACAAGATGGTTTATGTAAAGAACTAACGCTACTAGTCGAATCGCGAGGCCCTCTGCTTCCTTGTAGCTGGCCAAGACTTGCTGCGCTTGGTGCTGGCCCAGCGGCCACGCAAGGTACTCGTACATTGTCTTGACGCGCAGCAGCGGCGCATGATACGTGGGCAGCTCCACCGACATGAACGGCAAAAGCTGCTTCATCGCGTGCAGTCGGTTGAGCATGCGCTCGTAGCTCGCGCTGTCCACGGGCTTACTGGCCAGCGGCGACGCCGCCTTGGCTCGCGTGGCCCGCCATGGTGATGGCAGTTCAACACTGGCATTGTATAAAACAGCGTCGTTGTTGGCATGCAGTAGAAAACACCTTGGTTGCGACCAGTGGGAGGTGTGTTCATCTTACCAAGCGGTATTGATGTGACGTGATGGTCCAAACTGCCAAAGCAAGTTCCGTGAAAATCTCAACGCTGGAAATGGGACGACAGGGATCATTATGCTGGGCGCCTGCCACGTACATTGTCACCAAGTGTTTTATACATTGTGTTTATCATGTTAAAAACACTTTGCGTAGCCACCAGCAACGCCATTGAAACGACCAATCACAAGAGCCCGAAATCGTCTGCCCATCCCTGCCGACCAAGATTGCGATGACGAACGGGCAACGAAAGCAGCAGCAGCGGGGCAAGCCGCCGGCCAAGACCCGACGGGGCCGCGGGCCCACGGGCAAGGAGCCGTTCGAGGAGGCCGTCGCGCTTCTCCGTCGCTCCGCGACGCACTCGCCGGCGCCATGGGCCATGTTTGAGATCCCGCATCCCATCGAGCCGCTCTTACACGTCGACACGATGGACGAGTGGCTCGGCTGGCCGCTCTGCAAGCCCCAGGCGCACCACGTTATGGACGCGTACAAGTCGTCGCACGGCGTCGCGATCGTACCGGCGGCGCACCTCACGATCGAGAGCGACGACTGGCGCGAGGCCATGGACACGGTCGTGCGCCAGCACATTACGGACGCCTTCTTGTCGGAAGGCGCGTTTTCGCTGCAGCTGTCGCACTTTGTGCTCGATTTCAAGGGCTCGGCGTCGAGCTTGGTGCCAGCGACGCGCCCGGCCCGGAGCGTCGGGACGGTCTGCCTCCATCTCTCGTCCATGTACACGGGCGGCGAGGTGACGCTCACGAGTGGTGGCGGCCTCACGCGCGCGTGGGAGCTGAAGCGGTTTCTCACGCGACTGCAGTGCCTCGTGCTGTCGCCGTCGACGACGATCTCGATCGACCCGATCACGTACGGCCAGCGCGCGATTCTGGTCTACCACCTCGTCGACGAGTCGCCGTCAACGTACTTTGACGACGCGGTCGCCAAGCTCACGGTGGCCTCGCGTGTGCGCCACCCCGTGTTTAGCGTCGGCGGTATCCGGCTCGCGTCGCCCAACCCAACGCTGGCCCGGGACAAGCTGGCGCCGGTCGATCTCGACTTTGCGCGGGCACTCCTAGCGTCCAACGCCTACGACGTCGTGATCGCCGAGCACAAGGAGAACTTTGATCTCTTTGGCGTTGGCGGCACGGGCTACTCGCCCGAGCTTCTCCGCGTCCAGGCGCTGCGGGAGCTACCGGATGTAATCGCCGACAACCTCACCAACGTGTCTGTCCAAGCGTACCTCTTTGACAAGAAGGCCGACCCGCGCAAAATTGGTTTCTCGGGGCCCCAGTACTCGCTCGTGTTTTGGCCCAAGGCGGCCCGCGCCCTCGTTGCGAAGCTCTCGACCGCCGTGAGCATGCTTGTCAATGCGATGGCGGCCACGCGCAAGCCGTCGAGTGACGCGCTCCTCGGGCAGCCGTCAATCGCTGCGCTCGTCGAAACGCTGGTGCCGCGCTTTGGCAAAGTGTCGGAGATCGACGAGCCCGAGTTTGCGCACAGCCTGCACACGTACTGTGACGCGCTCATTGCGCTGCGCCGGCTTGGCACCGCCTCGCGGCTTCTCGGCGCGGTCTTGCGCGTCGGCACGGCGGAGCGCACGTTCCTTGAACTTTCGCCGTGCATCGCCAAGCTCGTGCAAGGGTTTGGCTGGGAGCCGCTGTTTGCGCCAATGAATGCGCTGCTGGACCGCTGGTCCAAGTCGCTGCGCGGCGTCGGGCTCTGCCACGGTCTCGTCGCGAGCTTGGCCGGCGCGGCCGAGTCGCCGCTCTGCGCGACCATCGAGCAGCCGTTTGCGGTCGAGTGGATCGTAGCCATGTGGTCGCGCCTCTCGACGCTCGTCGACGACCTTGTCGCGTCCGACAAGCTCTACGACGACGCCACGCTGCCCTGCATCGTGTTTCAGTACAACTTGTTGTTGCACATGTACTTGGTGGAGCCAGCGCGCCATCTCTCGCAGCGCTGGCTGTACAACCGCCTCCCGGACGGCGTCGTGACCAAGATTGGCTCCTTCCTCGGACCGGTCCCGACGTTGAACGACCTCGACCAGAATGGCGTCTTTGTGCCAGTGCCCGACATGTCGCCGGGTCTCGCAGCGGCACTGCGCCTGCACCAAACCGTCGACACGACGTATCTGCACCGCGTTGTCGACGACTACATGGCCGGCGAGTTTGGCGACTACGACGACGACCGCGATTTCAACCAAGAGCTCGCAACGAGTCTTCTGGCCGTCGCGGCGGCCGCCGGACGGTTCACCGACGTCCTGAACCGGCTTATCGCGGGGTGGCGCCTCGCGCTCGCCGTGCCAATGACCGCATTTCTTGGTGCGTGGCCGGCACTCGCCACCGCCGACGTTCAGCGCGCGTGTGCGTCGGCGCTCTTGCGCATCGCGGACGAGCTCCGGCCCGACGATTTCGCGCCGCCCATGTTTGACTTTCACATGTTACTGCAAGACCCGGCGACCGACAACGAGCGCAGTCCCGTCGTGAGCCAAGTCGTGGCGACGTTTGCGTTTTTTGCGACCTACGACCGCGCGGACCTCGTCGCAATTCAAACCAAGTGGATCGCTGCGGTCGTGCGCACTGCCGACGCCGTCCGAACGACGTTTTGTGACGTGATCGAGGCGGTCCACGAGCGGCTGCCGACGGAGCACGCGCTCGTCGCGCACCTCGCGCGCGCCTACTTGGAGGCGACGGCGGCCGCCGACCACGACGCGACCCAGCAACTCACCGACTATGCGTTGCTCCACATTGAGGTACCGGCGTGCTGCGAGCTCTCGATTGACTTTGCCGAGTTTTTGCACGACCCAATCCGCGACGAGTTTCGCGTCAACGACATTCAGGCGTGCGACAAGATTGGCCCGATTGTCGCTGGTCACCCGCTGCAGTTGCGGGTCCACGAACGCACAATGACGCGCGACGACGACATGCTCTGGGGTGATGACGACGAGTACGACGACGAGTACGACGACGACCAAATCGTGGTGAACGTCGTGACCAAGGTGCGCCAGCCGGGCCAAGTCCCAGTGGACGTTCTCCGCAGCCACTTGCGACGCCGGCGCGACTACGACAAGACACTGGCGCGGTCGCGACGAGTGGCCGACATCTTGCAGGAGGTTACCGAGGACATCTTGCAGGAGGTCACCGAAAGCGACGACGGCGAGTAGGTGCCCGACATCGAGAGCAAATTAACCATAAACATATCAAGTTGGACTTCGGTCTACACGAGTGATGCAAACCAAGCGTACATAGTTGAGTTGATGACCTCTGGATTCCAACAAACACGAAAAGGTGAAAATTCACAAATGAATTTTGTCATTTCTCTCGTTCTCGGAAATGTCGGAGTGGTTTTCGCGCACGCATAGCTCGACGGATCTCTGGGTCAGTGCATGGCCGATCAAAACGGCTATACCACGAGGTCGTTGCACCGTGTTGCGACCCTTGGGCTCTAAAGCCCAGTAGCAAGCCCAACGGTCCGTTCGCGATTGACTGGTTCGCCGTCGATGGGTTGTCTAGACCGGACGCTAAAGTCGATCGAATGCCATGTAAAAGGAGGGTCAACCTTAAAACATGCAAATCAAAAATGAAAAGAACCGAAAATACCGACATGAATATCGACATTACTCAGGTTGGGCGGCTCCTCTTCGTCGCGGGTCGCGGTTTTGCCTTGGCGTGGGTTGTGGTCGCACATGGGTAGCCCCTTTGTGGGCCATCGGCGGTTGCTACCGGAATAAATCCGCCCTTGCAGCGCGTCGCTTGGGGCAAGCTAGTCGTTTGGTATGCGTCAACCCGAAAACTGTCCAGAAATGGACAGTTCCAGCTCTGAATGTAACCGTCAACGTCAGGTCCGTCACAGCCGTTTCGTATCAACGAAACATAGATTGGTGTAAGCAAGCAATTAGGTATGTGTTATAAAGAAATATAAAATGGGCCAGTTACTGGACGGCGACGTAATCTTCGTGCACCTCGGACGTCGGGACGACCATGCCGCGCGCGACGCCCTTCTCTTGCGTCTGCTGGCTCGCAAAGTTGTTGAAGATTTGCTCCAAGGTCGTTTGCGCCACCGTATACTCTTCAACGTGGTACGCGGTCTTGCAGCCCTCGAGCATCGAAAAGACGGATGAGAGGAGCAACTTGGTCGGGCTCACGAGCTTGAAGCGCGCGACGTCGTTCTGGCGCTCGAGCAGCTGCGCATGACCAGCCCCCATCGCGGTCGCCAAGAAGGCGTTGAACGCCTCGAACCGGTCTTCCGTGAGCCACCACGTGCAAAAGTCGCGGGCGCGGATGTACTGGTTCTTCGCGATTGACTCCATGAGTGTGTACCCTGTCGCGTGGTCCATCGCGATGCAGCTGCTGCGCTGCGGCTTGCCGAGGCGGTGGCACGCTTCCTGCGCGTCTTCGAGGCTCAGTGTCGGCGTCGCGCCAAACTCGCGCTCGACAAAGTCCAGGATCGCATCGCCCGGGACGTGCGCGAGCTTGATGTGCATCATGAGGCCGTCGCCGAACCGGTGCTTGAGGTGCTGGATGCTGCCGAGGCAGCGGAGGCGGCCACCGACCATGATACCGACACGCGTGCACAACGCTTCGCACTCTTCCATCGAGTGGGTCGTCAAGAGAATCGTCGACTCTTTCGAGCGCGTCGAGATGTCGGCGATCACGTCCCACATGAAGCGGCGCGAGACCGGGTCCATACCGGTCGACGGTTCGTCGAGGAAGATGATGGGCGGCGCACCAATCATGGCGATCGCGACCGAGAGCTTGCGCTTGTTGCCACCGCTCAACGTGCCCGCGAGCTTGTGCTCAAAGTCGTTGAGGTTCATTTGCGTCATCTTCTCAGCGACGGTATCGTTGATGCGGCCGGACGGCACGCCCTTGATCGCCGCAAAGAGCTCCAAATGCTCGCGGACCGTGAGGAGATCCATGAGCGCGTCAAACTGCGGGCAGTAGCCCATGAGCCGGCGCACCTCGATCTGCTGCGACAGAATGTCAAAGCCGCCGAGTGTCGCCGTGCCCGATGTTGGGAGCACGTCGCCCGTCATCATCTTCATTGTCGTCGTCTTGCCGGCGCCGTTGATACCGAGGTACCCAAAGCACTCGCCCTTGGGCAGAGCGAGCGCAATGTTGGACACACCGACCTTGCCGCCCTTGTAGACCTTGCGCAGTTTGCGCATGACGACAGCGTCGTTGTCGGCGCGACCGCTGTTGACGCGATCCGCCTCGGCTTGGACATCGACGTCAATGTCCACTGGTGCGTCGACGATGACCGGGTCCTTGGAGAGCTTGGCCTTGATCTTGGGGAAGCTGAGCGCATAGTCGATGCCGATCGCGAGGATCGGGAAGAGCACAGCTTCGATGGCGAGGTACATGATCTCGTAGCCGGCGACGTCAGTGCTGAAGGCCGACGTGTTGGGTGCCTTGGTGCCGACTGTTGACTCGATCGTGTAGCTACTGAGCGCGTTGAGGCCACCACCGATGCAGTAGAGCGGCGAGAGGCGCCAGAAAAACTTGAGTGTTTTGTTGGCAGTCTTGGTCGACTCGACGATGTCCAAGACAGTCGAGACCGTGATGAGCACCGTGCCGAAAGCGATGTTGGTCATGATCGTGTACGTCTGGGACGACGCCGGATCCGAAAAGAGGTACGAGAGGCAGTAGCAGAACGAGCAGAGCGCCGGACCGAGAAGCACGAAGAGAGCAATCACCGCACCGAACGGGTTGGCCGCGCACCCAAAGCACTCGTTGCCAGTAAACGGCGTAATGTCAAAGAGGTAGATTGCGAGCAGACCAAAGACGCACGGCACCAGGAAGAGAAGGACGTCCCACGCAAAGTTGGCGAGCCAGAACGCCGGGAGACTCACGCCCGACACGAGCTGCTGGTGCTTGGAGTTGTGCGAGTGGTGCTTCTCGTTGACAAGGTACGGGACGATCGACGCCGTGAAGAAGGCGAACGCGAGCACGACAAAGATCGACGTCGCGAACGACATGAACGTCGTGAACAGCGTCTTGGACATGGCGGTCAGCGGCAGTGGGTGGCTCGTCACCTTGAGCGTGATGCCGGGCTGCTGCGTAAAGAGTTGGTACAGCGTCTCGTCAATCGCCGCCTTGTAGTTGGGCGCCGCGTGCACAGCCGTCGTGTTGATGAGCACGTTGTAGCCGTACGTGTTGTCGACCGACGACGCCTGGAGCACGTAGCCGCCGAGTTGATCGAGCACCGGCTTGTCACCGTAGCCGCGCTGGTAGGCTTCGTAGCCGGTGGCGAGGCAGATGCCAGTCGTGTCGTTGGCTGCGATCGCTGGGTCCGTGTACGTAATGCCAAATACCGTCGGGTTGCTCGTCGGATACGCAGGCGTCGGCACCGAGAGAAGCGAGACCTTACCAGCCGCGTACGCAGCTGGGAACGCCGCGCACCACGCTGCGTCACCTTGGCACGTCACGGGCACCGGCTTCGTGCTGCCGTAGCTCTGCAGGTTCATACCGAGCGGGTCGTCGTTCTTGGAGAGCGAGCTGAACTTGAGAATGCTCATGCCAAGCACGACAAAGATGACGGGCAGCACCGCACCAAACACCACAATCTTCTTGTCGCGCTTGGCCGTGCGGAAGCGCTTCTTGAAGAGTGCGACAAAGTGACGGCCAAACATGCGAAGCCGGCTCGGCGGCGCCTCGGCCGTGTTGATCTTGTAGCCGGCGGGCGAGAGGAGCGGGCTCGCGTCGTTGCGGGGCTGGAGCGTGTGCTGCTGGTGCTCGTCGCCGATCTCCGCTACCTTGATAAAGACCTCTTCCAGCGTCGTGACCGAGATACCGTACGAGAGGACACCGAGGTCGCTGCTCTGCGCTTCCAAATCCGCAAACATGGCTGCAAACGACGGCGCGTGATCCAGCGGCAGCTGGAACGACATCTCTGTCCCGACGTTTGAGAGCACCTTGGCGACCGGGATGTGCGACTGGACAAACGCGATCAGCGCCGTTGTGTCGCACGTCTCGGTGCGAACGAGCGCAAAGTTGTAGCCGGCGCCGTACCGGTTCTTGAGAAAGAGCGACGAGCCGACGCAGCGCAGCTGCCCTTCGGCCATGATGGCAATCCGGTCGCCGAGGATATCGGCTTCGTCCATAAAGTGGGTCGTCAGCACCACGATGCGGTTCATGCGGTTGTTCATGATGATCTCCCAGCTCGACCGGCGCGAGTACGGGTCCATGCCCGACGTGGGTTCGTCCAAGAAGACAATCTTGCTGTCCCCGAGAAGCGCGATCGCCAGCGACAGCTTGCGCTTCATGCCGCCGGAGAGCTCGCTCGACGCCACATGGCGCTTCTCCGTCAAGCCGACTTCAGCAATCTTGTCGGCGACTTCTTCATTCAGTGCTTTGCCCGAGAAGCCCTTGATGCGACCGTAAAAGATCAGGTGCTCCTCGACCGTCAGCTCGGCGTAGAGCACGTCGTGCTGCGGACACATGCCCAGCGACTGGCGCAGCTCCGAGAGGTCGTTGCGCAGCGAGAGGCCGTTGAAGGTCGCGTCACCGCCCGACGCCGGAATCATACCGGTAAGCATCGAGATGAGCGTCGTCTTGCCCGCACCGTTGTGCCCCAGGAGGCACGTGATCTGGTTCTTGTACATGGTGAGGTCGAGACCCTTCACAGCGACCTTGATGCCACCCGGCACCTTGAACTCGCGCCGGAGCTGGCGGATCTGGAGTGCTTCGCCACTCGCCTCTTGCGCCTTGAGCTCCATCCCCACGGGCTCGATGGCGTCGTGGGCCGCGCCTTCGATGTAGTCGGCGTCGTCGAGGTTGACGCTCGTGACGAGGCGCGTGGCGCGGCGGTTGCGCCAGTACGACGGCGAGAGGAAGAAGTACCACTTCTCCGTGATGCCATAGTCCTTGGGCACGACCTTCTCAAAGTACAAGCCGAGAAGCGTGTAGAGCACAATGTCGAACGCCATGTAGTACAGACTCGTGATGAAGCGAAAGTTGTCGTACGGCTCGTTGATATTGCCGAACGTGATCCCGAGCGAGTTGGACTCGGCGTTTGCCATGGTCTGGACCCCAAACGCCATGGCCACGGGCGCAAAGATGCACATGGCGTTCTTGGTCGACTCGGCAGTCGTCGCCGAGAAGCCGGACGTGATGAGGTACATGATGAAGAAGCGGATGATGCCGACGTACGTGCCAATGCGCGACTTGGAGAAGACCGACGACACCATAAAGCTGTACGCGAGGACGCTCCAGCCAAAGAGGAGGAAGAAGATGAAGACGAGCACGACGTTGCAGTTGGAGAAGAGGTTGGCTTTGCTCGCGGTGGCTTGGAGAATCGCGGCCACGACAAAGATGGCGCCATACGTTATGTACCACGACCAAATGATCGCGCGGTCGTGGACGCCAAGGATCTTCATGAGCTCGCGCGACTTGTTCTCCTTCTCGGTAATGAGCGCGACAAGGATCGACGAGACCGAGAAGAGGTACGAGATGATAAATATGATGGCAAAGAACGACGAGACGCTCGTGTAGAAGGGCGACGACGTGTAGCCCTGGATCGGGAACGGGTACACAGCTTGGCCAAAGTACGGCTGCGGCGCCTGACGCAGTGGCGTCAACAGCGCCTGCTTGGCCGTCGTCGGCACCGCGTTCCAGTCGACGCTTGGCAGCGAGGCCCGACCGAGAAGCAGGTTGATCTGCTGCAAGAGCGTGTCGTTTTGCACTTGGCCAAACAGCCGCGCGTCGAGGCCCGACGACGCCACCGCGGTCGCCTTGGCGTTGGAGCAGTTGCCCGGCGCGCCATTTACGTACGTCGGCTGGCACAACACAAAGCGCGTCACGAGCGTCTGCAGCGTGAGAAAGCCCCGCGTCGCGTAGCGTTGGTAGTCTTCGGTTTCGATCGACTTTTGAAGCGCGTTTGTCTTGGCGACATTGGTGCGCGGAATGTCGCCCGGGTTCCCGTCGTCGTCCATGGTCGAGTTCATGCGAATCGCATAGTCGAGCGAGACAGCCGACCCGATCTGAGCCTCGGGGACACTCGACTTGAAGACGATCGCCGAGTGAATGCGCGGGTGCGCCAGATCCTTGCCATACAAATCATCTATTCCAAGGCATGTCAGCTCCAATCATACGATCCATGGAGAGGTCATACCGGTGACATGCGCTTCGAGCGCGGCGGCGTCGGCGAAAAAATGCACGGAGTCGGCAAACGACGGCAGCGTCGTAGTGTTGGAGACAGCAATCGTGGGGTACCAGGCGGCGACCGTTTTCGCAAAGTAGTTGCGCGTGTACGCCGTGTCGGGAACCACCGCGATCTTGTAGGGCACAATGCGCCCACTGCACGCCGACGGAATCGCATTCGGCGACGCTGAGTCCAAGTTGACTTTGCCCTGGAGCAGGAACGCTGCGCACGAGAGATTTTGGGCTGCCGTAAAGTCGGCCATTGACGCCGACTCGGTGTACGCCTTGACCGAGAGGCTCCATAGCAGGCCCGAGAACGTCGTCTCGGTCGTAAAGTAGCGCGGTCCGCGGCTCGCGTAGAGGTTGTAGCCGGACCCGGTGTACTTGTCGACGGTCGTTGTATCGTCCGACCACCCGGACGGGACTTTGACGTCTTTCAAGAGCACCTTGAGCGCGCCAAGGAGGATGATAAAGACCACGGGCACGAGGATCTCGAGTGCCCACTTGACCGGGTGCTTCTTCTTGAGCAAAAAGTTCTTCCAAAGCAGCGGGCGAATATGGTTGCGCTGCACGGGCGGCGCGACCAACATCGGCGGGTCCGAGTCGAGGCGCATGATCGGAGGCATGTTTGAAAATGAGCTATCGATTTACTGTCGATCGATTAGAGCCCGAACCCTAATTACGCACTCGTACTATTTGGCGTTGTATGGTATACAAACACCAAGTGATATCGTGGCGGCAGGGTTGCCCATCCCCACGACAAATTTGCCGTTTTCAAGAGTGTTGGTGGACAGGATCTCGATACAAACAACAAGATACAAATATGATTACGATTGGTGCGGCTGCGGAAATCGACCAAGTGGCGTCAACGGCAGCGGCGCTTGCTGCTCCTGCTGCTGCATGATAGCGTCCACGGCGCCATGTCGACGTCCACTTGAAAAAGACGCTCGTGTGCGCTACAAGGCGCTCGTGGCCCCTCCGAGACGTTCTGAGAGACTCGTTCCCAGAGCCGCATAGAGTAGTGCAGGCAACGTAAGGCCGCAGTGACACACGCTGTCCCAGATGATGTTCATGGAGATGCACGCGAGCTGCAATCATGTCCGCAAAGGATGTAAATACTTTTGAGCCACACAATGAATATCTCAGTGTGTTCTTCGAAGGGAAGAAGCGTTCCTTGATTGCTTCAAAGCGAATGCGTGGTCGTTGGTGCTGTCCTACGCCTAAATTCGTCCACATCAACGGCTCGTTTTGCCACGAGCTCGTGGTGTCGGACCGCGATGCGTCGTCGCCCGACTTCGCGCGCTACCTCGGAGATGCCGCGATATGCGTAGGATCATCGATAATGTAGCATCATCGACGCCACACGCCTTCTGTCGCGGCACATGTGACAGACCTCGGACCTTCGCTTCCTATCCGTTGCTTCAACAAGACACATTGCGCGCGCGAATTGGTGGCTCGAAGGACGCTCTGTCTTTGGACACTTCGCTTGTCGATCTGCGCGCGCCGCCTAGTGATCCATTAGGACAGTGTACGGTAGGCTTGCATATTGTGGCGGCATGACGTACCATTGCTACCAGTTGGTTTCTCGGACGACGCTGGAGCGCCAACGACGTGCTCTCGCTCGCAAACGCGTGCTACGGGCTCTGTAGCATAGCGCCTCGCACGGCTTTCGCTGGGCACTGTCAGCAACTACTAAATTTACGCTTATCTCGAGCAAGAGTACGAGTTGTTGGGTTAGCAAGCAGGATGCAGCGGCGCAATTCGCGTCGTTATGGTCGCCGACGCCGACGTCGTATTGACACGAATCCCAATGCGTGTCCACGAGACACCGTACGACGACAACGCCGTCGCCGAGAGGATAAACGAAGCCGTCGCCGACACGGTGACGGTAACGCGGACGCCCGACGGCATGGTCACGACGCCGGAGGTGTTGGACGTTGGCGTCCAGACACCAACCGTCGTCAAGACCGACTCGACGTCGACAGTGGCGCCGGGTCGCATCGTGGCCGAGTCTGTGATGCGCACGTGGCCGCTTTGCGGCGACCGCACCAGAGCCACCGATCGATTCAGGCTCTGGAGCGCCGACACGTTGTAGGCGGCTGCGAGGTTCGTCGACACGACGTCTTGCGCGTCCGAGAGAAGATCCGTGCGCAGTGTAAGCTTGTGCATCGCTTGCACGTGTACCGCTTCGAGCTGGAGCTGGCCCTGCACGACGGGGACCGGGTGGCCGTATGCGTTCATGAGCGGGCTCTTGTACCGGTTCGGGCCAAACGTACTTGCGTCGTAGTACATGGGGCCGCCGACATCGCCGAGCACTGTAGCGCCGTTGAGTACGATCGCGAACGACCCGATGTCGTTGTGGCTGTGGCCGCCGTTGCCGCCAACTTTGAACGTCACGTCCAAGTCCGTCGCGCTCACACCGCGAAGGACGGCGACGTGGGCGGCTGGAAAGATGTGGCGAAGCGGCTCGGGCGTCATGCCCACGGGTGAAATGCGCTTCGCGCAGGTCTGTGCGCTCGAGAGCGGCATCGACAAGGCCATGGCCGAGCCGGGAAGACTGCTATTGAACCGGCGGGGCGACGTTGGCACGCTGCTTTCGCCGTACGTCCACTGCACGTAGCGCAGCAAATGCGGAAGGAATTGCGCGTCGAGCTTGGCGTCACCAAACGCGGCCACGTGGTGGGACCGCATTTCAAACAGCATGGGCGCGTGGCTGATGGCATCGACGTTGGGAAGGGCAAAGAGGTCGAGAAGACCCCGTGTCTGCGCGCACACGACCTCGCGGAGCTCGGCAAACTCTTGAAATCCATAGTTGAAGTACGCGACGCCTTCCGTGCCGTACCCGTCACGGCCAAAAGAGGCCACGTAGTGCTGGCTCTGCTTTGCAAGCGCCAGAAGGACCTTGGCGCGGTCCGACTTGCTGCGCAACGACGCAAGGAGCGCCGAGGCCATGCCGTTCCAGCACACAGCGTTCCAGTTGGACGCACTTACTTGCCACCAAAACGGTGCTGTCGACCCGATCGAGCGGTCGAGCAGGGGCTGCAGCGTGCGTACTTGGAGCTGGCGCGAGACAACATCGCGCGTCGCCGACGATAGCTCGTTGGGCAAGAGCGCAAGCATCGTCGCAAGCAACGACGAGACGCTGGCAGCGTTCAAGTCGACAAAGACACCTTTGTTGTCGTAGACAAGCCGCTTGGGGTCGTGCGCTGCAAGGACCCACGTGCGCTGCGTCGCAAGCGATGCAAGGCTTGTGTCGAGCGCCGCCAGAAACGCTCCGGTCATGTCCAAGCACTCGGCGAGGAATAGGTCGCTGACGTAGGTGTGTCGACGACCCATCATGTCTTGGCCAGCGAGGCGGTCGCCCGTCTTGTAGTAGAGCTCGTAGGCGGTCGCATTCCACGGCGGCATACCGGATGCAAGCTGCGCGGTGGCGCGAGTCCGTGTAGCGTTCACGAGGGCGGCGTTGGCGTCGACGAGCGGCTGCCAGTACGCCCGGTCGGCACAAGGTCGCGCATACGACGCCGGCGCCTCTGGAAGTACTGCGATGATGTCTTCCAACGACGGCAGCGCGACCACCGCCGTCGCGAGCAGCGCAAGCACAGTGCGCATAGCCGACAAGATGAAAAGTGCTCGTCGACAGGCGCAGCAGCTCAGCTGCTGCCGGCGCGAGCGAGGATTCCCAGGGTAAATCCCTCCCAACACAACACGACACGAGGCGTCCGAGTAGTAGCCGACACCGAGTAGCTCAAGGTCGGAAACAGGTCCTCGTCATTGCGCGCGATAAACGAGCACGGGCGATATGGTACCGACACGAAAGATGTGCCGCGGCTGCGCGCCCTCGGCTGAGGGTAGGACGATTGGCGCCCAAAAGCACCGGTGCTGGTCACCAGCTCACAAAAACGAGCCGCCACGAGGCACATCTGATTCGCCAGTGAAATGCAAGGTTCGCTGCGACACGCCCAAGATGATCACCATACGAGTGGCCAAAAGATCCCAAGAGGCGGCCATCCCCAAATGGCTGCCTCCGAGTTGTGGCGAGATGGTATGCGCATGGACATCATGACGGGTTTTCAGTCGGAAGACATGGTGATCCAGGAAGGGGGTCATTTGGATCGTCGGAGCGTACGTGCTGCGAGGACACGACATTCGTGGACGCGCGCAAACAATGGCGGAAGCGGCTGCACACGCTGCATCAAACCACACTCGGCGTGGACGAGGCAATCGTAACACACTTTGGCCCACCGCGTCATTGCGTACCTGCGATATTAGGCTCGTCTATGCCCCTTGCCTCGCTTTTGCGCATTTGGCATTCGATTGATCAAGGCGGCAGTCGCGTGCCTCTGCGTGCTGCGTATCGCGTCCTTGTTGCGCACTCGGGTGGTGGCGCCGGCTCGGCGGCCATCGACGCAGCGGTGGCGTCAACAACGTCAGCTTGCAGCTGAGAGAGGGCGTCTCTGAATCTGGGCTGCGGCGCAACCCATAAAAGTGACAAGCCCACGCGAGCCAATCCGCGATGGTTCGGCGCCGCGACACGGCCTATTACGCGCCGCTTTACCCAGAGTATTGTTTTTGGGTGCCTGGTCTGTCCCGCTTTTTCGGGCCATACAAACCACCATACAAACCCAGTGCGAACCAGGCCGATGATGGCCGCGTCCACCTGTCGCGTCACATATTTAACGCCCGCGAATGCAGCTTACGACAGAACACGCATACTTGGCACGTCGTCGACGGTCCTCGAGCCTTGAAACGCGGCGTCGCCCACGCTAGATGCAATAGAGCAATGTTGTGCTCCGTCTAAAGTTTCAGACATGTCGTCGCCTGTCCAAAAGGGTAGCTACGTGGGATACTTTGGCCTGCGATGGGCTACTTGTCTGGATCACGAGTATGCGGGTTTTGTCCAAACGTAGACCGTATGTATGGGGTCGTTGGAGACCGCATCAGATGGTTTCAAAGCTTGCACGCTGGTCCAACTCTGCTGCGTTGATGCGCAAGGAGACTTCTCTCGCACCTCCTTGGTCCCGTGTGAGGTACCATCCATTCTCACTTTTGCTCGGTCCTTTCCAAGAGGATCACAATCCAGTAGTAGCATGTCGACCGAGAAGTCCAAGCTCCTCAACCCGGCTGTGGGCCATGGTGGGATCATCCCAGTCAAGCAAGAACTCCGCGAGCTCACGAGCATGGCGCTCCAGCTCTCGCTGCGGCAAATGGTGCGCCAGGTCATGACGATCACGGACGCAGCGTTCCAGGGCCACATTGGTACCAAGCAGCTCGCTGGTGTCGCGCTCGCAGGCATGTGGATGGGCGTGCCCTCGGCCTTTATCCAGTTTGCGATCCAAGCCATTTCGACGCTTTGCAGCCAGGCGTACGGCGCCGGCAACAACTCGCTCGTTGGCACGTGGCTCCAGACGTCGATCGTCTTTGCGGTGCTCGGCGCGATCCCCGTCATGATTTGGTACATGTTTGTCGGCGAGATGATTGCGTTGACCATGGACGACCCGGAGACCGTCATGTACGGCTCGGAATTTGCGCGCATCATGGCCATCGGCCTCATTCCGCAGTACATTTACGGCTGCCTCACGACCTACTTTGCGACGCTCGGCGTGATCATGCCCGCGACGATCTGCTCGTGCTTTACCATGCTCCTCAACATCTTCTTCAACCAGCTCTTCATTTACGGCTGGGACGGCTTTGGCGGCTTTGGCTTTATTGGGTCGCCGCTCGCGACCGTCGCCAGTACGTGCGTCCAACTCGTGCTCTTTGTGCTCTACACGATCGTGTGGCAAAAGTACCACCAAAACTACTGGGGCGGCTGGTCGCGGGACTGCGTCAAGAAGGAGCGCGTCGAGGTCTTCCTCGCGCTCGCAATTCCCATGGGTGCTTCCAGTGTCGTGGACTGGGCCTCGGCCACGCTTGCCGGTGCCTTCTCGGGCTACCTCGGGCCCAACATTGCCGCCGCCCAAGCGGTGCTCAACGGCCTCTTTGGCGTCGTCAACTCGTGCGTCAATGGCTTTAGCATGTCGACGCAGATTCGCATGTCGCGCTACCTTGGCCAAGGCAGCGCGGAAGGTGCGAAGCGCGTGCTCGTCATTGGGTCGACGATCGTCATGAGCTGCTCGTTTGTGCTCTTGTTGGTCGTGCTGCCGTTCCGCCGCGAGCTCTTTAGCGTCTGGAGCAACGACCCGGTCATCATCGACATGTGCTCGGACGTCATCGTTGTCTTTGTCATTTGTATCCTCGTCGCCTTCTCGCGCTTCCTCCTCACGTCGTGCATGAACGCGCTCTCGATGGCCAACCTCAACTTGGTCGCCAACAACATTGCGTCCTGGTGCGTCTACGTCCCGTTGAGCTACCTCCTCCCGATCACGCTCGGGTGGGGCCTCGACGGTTTCTGGTGGGCCGACACACTCGGCGAGCTCCTCAAGGCCATCATCCTCTTCTGGGGTGTCATGCGTGTCGACTGGCACGACGCCGCCGACCAGGCCCAGTGCGCCGCCGAGGCCAAGAACGTCGACGACGACGAACAGCACGAGCTCGATACGCTCAAGACCGAAGCCATGGCGCCGACGCCGCCGAGCTTCAAGAGTCCCGCGGCGCTCGGCCTGAGCTCGACGCCGGGTCGCACGCCCAACCGCACGATGCAGCGCCGCGCCGCGGAGCTGACGCCCAAGGCCAAGCGTACCTCGAGCAACGTCCAGGTCTAATAATTGTTGCTGCCACGTGCATTATAAAACTCCACCGTTGATACCTCCAAGCTGTTGTTCGGATGCGTGTGCCCGTACCACTAAGATCTTATTCGACCCGAGCGTGAGAGCTGAGAGGGAGGACTGTCGCAGCATTTCGTCGTACTCGAGCATGACTAGTGGTCGAGCGCAACACCGCGCCAATGCACGTTGTGACGGCGTCGTCGTCATAGCATGCGAGTCTCCCCGAGCGGCTATAACAGTCCACGTACACCTCAAACAGCGCCTCGAACTCAGACTCAAGCAAGCTCCGTCTCCTGAGAGCTTGTTGTGGCGCCGTTTCTGTCAATCGCAAAGTCAACAGGAGCACCCAGCACCCGAAATTGTCACAGGTCAGGTTGATACTCCAGCTTGAAACTTTCCGCGCCTTTGCCCGGTGGCCTTGTTGATGAAAATAAGCAGGTCGGTCGGGCCAAGTCATTGAAGTCAGTACGATCCATGGACAATGTTGTGTACTCACGAAGGTCCTTGCTGCGCCCTTTTCTCGTTGGGCGGCTCCAACACGCCACACAACCGACTCGACACAACTCGCTCGTCTCGGCAGAGCGTCTTGCACTTGCGCGACAAACTAGTAGCGACTACAATAGTAGTGATTCGTATGATGTTAACACAATATACTCGATATTAACGATCCAGAGTGGACAGAATTGTCCTATATTATCTGCTAAAAAGAAGAAACACGCGTTTCTCGACGGTTCCAGAACGTTTTCGATGGATTTTTACGAGCTGTCAGTGGAAAATGAGGAGCCTGAGAACACCACATCACCGACTTCTGCTTGGACTCATTTTCGTGTGGGCCCTTGCAGCTGCCATGCTATCCCATGCATGCTGTGGCAGGTCCGATAGCAGGTGGTAGGACGAACGGTGCTGGCGTGTGCAACCAGGTTCGAGAGGATTGGTATGACCATCATTCTCGTAGACTTGATATTTGTAGCAAAGCCAGCGTTTTTCGGTAAAAGCCGTCCAGAAAATACCTTGGCGTTTGTATTCCCCAAGGTGTTTGAGCATCCGGATGCGATTATGCGGAAACCAGACCTTTGGCTTATACTCTTCCATTCCGCTTGTAGCTTCGGTGCGCCCACGAAGAAGAGATGACGTCGATTGCTCCGCCCCGCGAGACCATGTCCCTGAAGCGGACCCGCATGATGGAGACGCCCTTCCTCGGCGACATGGAGGTCGAGAGCGCTCGCTCCATGAAGCGCCGCTGCTTCCAGCAGGAGCCGCCCCATGAGCACGATCTGCCCAAGTACTCGCAGCGCCAGTTCGAGTTCCTCGACCAGGCCAAGCAAGCCGAGATGAGCCGATTAAGGTACCAAGCTCATACTTCTCCATCCACCTCCTGATGCTCATCACGTGCATGTACAGATCGGAGTTTGAACACATTATGATGAGCAAGGAGAACGAGCTCAACGACCTGCGCATGGAGCGGGAGCGTCTGCGCCACGTCTGCACGGAACAAGCGAAAGAAGCGGAAAAAATCCAAGCAGAGAACAAGCTCTTGCGCCGCGCGGTGACGATCCAGAACCAGCAAAAGGAAGACGCGACGCAAGAGAACAACGTGCTCAAGCAAATTGCGACGCAGGCGGCCGAGCACATCAAGCGCCTCGAGCAAACCAACTATGCACTCCGCGTGCACCTCCAAGCGAGCACGGGCAGCAACGGCTCGGCCAACACGTTCTCGTCGGACGTATACTAGGGCTCTCCCTTCTATTTGCATGCCATTTTTATTAGTCGTAGACCGAAAGAGAAATAAAGTCAAAATTCATCGCCGTATTCACATCTCCTAGCGACTCGCTCACAAGCTGCTGCAGCACGACCACGAGCTCTCGTTGTTGTTGTTGCGGGCGTGGAAGGTCTCGGCCGTCGGACGCACCGTGTCGCGACGCGGCTCTTGCTTCTTCTCAAAGACGTCGCGATGGGCCAGAATCGCCGCCACGAGCGCCTTGTTGGCCTCGTCAATGTTGATGTTCTCCTTCGCCGACGTCTCAAACCAGCCCGCAAAGCCATTCGTCTCGCAAAAGCCATCCAAGAAGGCGCGGTCAATCTCGCCCGCCACATCGCACTAGAGACAAGCCAGACCAATGTCATTCGCATCATGCACGCTTGCTGCATGGGCTACCTTGTTGCCGCAGAGGATCACGGGCAACGGCTTCTTGTTGGGCAGCTCCACCTACGCCACCACATACATGCAGGCCTCTCCATCGACCGCGTGCCGCCAGCTACCTTGGTATCAATCTCCTTCTTCCACTAGGAGAATTGCCCATGAGCCATGGCACAAGGTGCGCAAGTAGTATACCTTGAGCGCCGACTCGAACGTATCGGGGCGCGACATGTCGTAGACAACGAGCGCGCCGAGCGCGTCCTTGTAGTAGACGCGGTTCAAGGCGCGGAAGTGCTCCTGCCCGGCAATGTCCCAGAGCTGGACGCGCAGCGTCGTGTTCTGGACGGTCACGGGCTTGAGCGCAAAGTCGACGCCGATCGTGGTCTTGTGCTGGTCCGAGAAGACGTTGTGCACGTAGCGCTTGATGATGCTGGTCTTGCCCGTGGCCGCGTCGCCCAAGACGAGCACCTTGACGACCGCGTCCTGCGCTGCGTGGAACCGCCCGTCCATCTAGTCCGCTCGTTGGTTTCTTTGGGCAGAGAAGAAGATACCGACTTCGTTCTTCGGCAAACCACCGGATAATTAAATTATTATCCGGGCGATCAGCATTCCGCACATGGGCTCATATACGCGACACATCCTGCCCCCGGCTTATCTTGCCGACACACCGTTTAGCGGTAGTAGGAAACGACACACCGTAAACCGGTATGACCAGGCGAATACCGCTTTCTGGTGTTTATTACAGACACAAGTGCATGCAAGGGCAACTCGATGCATCTTGGCTGTCTGTCGCATCCGTATGCACTTGGACAGCGCGTGTGTATCGAGCGATCGATAATCGCATTTTATGACGTATCACAACGCTGCCACAGATACCGAAAGCATGGCGATGACGCATTGCGCTGTGGACATGGATCGCGCAAGCGAGACGATGAGCAATCACGCAAACGTGCACGGGAGATGCAACGCATGGAAGCGGCCTCAAGATCAAGTGGCAAACCACCGTTCGCCAAGAGCCCAAGGATGCTATCGCGCCGCATCCTGCTCCTCTACACTGCCTCTCATACATTTCGCAGCGGTTGCCGATCAAGTCAAGTCCCTTATCGCCGGTATAGCTCCTAGTAGCACCGAAACTCGAGCAATCACTCAAACTTAAGACCATGGGTCAATAATAAATTATGGACCCATGCTTAAGACGTTATCATGCCCACGGTTGTGGCGACCTAGGTGCAACAAGAATAGAAGAGAAAGCCATTTGGGAGACAGCCACGTCACAATTTGATCAACGCCCCTTGGATTCCAGCGCCAAAAGTGTAATCACGCAATGACGTGTTACTTCGGCGGACTTCGCTGATGAGTTTATGCCTGGTTTGGACCAAGCACAGCCCCCGCAAGGCGAGAGGTCCATTTTTACCGCGTAGGACTCTGAAACACCCCAGCGACAAAAATATTTGCTCTCGGACTTCGATGGACGCAGGTCTTTCTCTACAGCAGCAGCACTAATCTAAGTATGCAGAGAGCTAGTCCACTACCTTCTACGGGTCGCCCTTGCAAGCCCTTCAAGCCAAGGACTTGATCGAACACCACCTGCAGCATGCGTAATCTCCGGTCCATTGCCCGTGAGGTTGCCCGTGGCCGCGTCGTTGGACAGTGGGTCCTCCCTCTACTATACGCTCTGAGATGACGTTCATCGCCCACGCCCCGCCCCAGTAATCACCGGTTTTGTTTATTTTTATTAAAGTATCTACGTTTCCATATGCGGAAGTAAAATAACTGAAGTGGCCAGCACGAAGGACCGACACTCTGGTCCCGATCCAAGTTTGGCGCTGGGTGGCGGGGTCGTTTTATAGAAATATGCATCATACATTAGATATTTGTATTCAACATTAAACAATGGTATTGAATGTGCGAATTTGGCAGGGAGTGCAGTAATGCAAGTCGATCATTTCCCAAGATGCTATCGGCCGCGCAGTCGCCGACGCCGGTGCTCTCGGCGCCGGCCCGAGCGCCGGACCACATCCGGCCGCTCCTCTGGAAGAACTTCCTCCTCAAGAAGAAGCATCCGGTCAAGTGGGCGCTCGAGATGATCGTCCCCGTCGCCTTCATCATCCTCCTCGGCGGCCTCAAGCACCTCATGGACGACGTCAAGGTCCCATCGGGCTGGGCGGATGAGACCAACCCGCCGGGTGACAAAACTCTTGGGACGGGCTACAACCTGTACGCGACGAGCCGCCTCATGAATGCCACGTACTCCAAGTACTACACGACCGAGTCGACGATGGCCGCGCTCCTCATGAACCTCGCAGTGCAAGCGTTCCAGAACGCGCAGTCGATGGCCGACTTTACGCTGACGCAGAACCTCTCGTGCTCGGCCTTTGTCGTGCAGGGCAAGGTGAGCCTCGACCCGACCTCGCCCAACGCGGTGCCCAAGGAATGCATGGGCCGCGTCGTGCCATGGAAGATCGCCGTCGTGCCCGATACGGCGTTCACGCGCAACTACTTTGCGAAAACGATTGCGGCGTGGCATCCGGCCGTGCCCCTCACGAACACCTCGAGCATCATTGGCAAGCCGACGATTCCGGCGTTCGGTGACTCGATCATCTTCTTCTCGGACGAAGCCACGCTCGAGTCGCATGTCACAGGTACGAACGATGCATTTAGGAGCGATACGAATGCTCAAACAAACCTGTAGACAACCTGTACGGCAAGGATCTGGATCATCCGCGGATTCACTCGGCGATCGTCTTCAACACACCACCGGCCGAGGCTCAAATTGGGTCGGCGGTCTCGCTCGACTACTCGATTCGCCTCAACTCGACGCTTGGCAAGGGCGGGATCCCGGGCGACGTACCGCGGACCAACCTTCCCGCGTTCGACCCGCTCCAAAAGTCGATCGCGGTCACGAATTACCAGAATTACGCGCTCACCGGGTTCATGACGCTCCAGACGCTCGTGACGCGCTTCGCCTTGTGCCAACCGACGTACGTGAATGGCGCGCCGGGCAACTGCACGAACGCCAAGACGACGGCGCTTGCGTCGCCGGAGCTCGATGCGCGGCTGTTTGGCCAAGTCCAAAATGACTTTACGCTGCAGACGATCGCGGGCTTCTTCAACAAGCTCTCGCCGACCAAGATCAACTTGGACCAGATCCCAGAAGCGTCCAAGCAGGCGCTGTTGACGCCACTGCGTCAGGCGCCGCAGCCGTACTTTGGCCAAGCCGTGTACCCGTTCCCGATCCAGGGCTACACGTCGTCGCCCTTCTACACGAGCGTCTCGTCGTTCTTTGCCATCATCTTTATCATCTCGTACCTCTTCTCGATCTCGTCGATTCTCGTCGCGCTCATTACCGAGAAGGAGAACAAGTCGCGCGAGCTCATGAAGATCCTTGGCGTCCACGACCGCGCGATCATTTGGTCGTGGTACATAACGTATGGCGCCATCTTTGTCGTGGCCGCGATTCTCCAAGCCGCCGCGAGCAAAGCCAACCTCTTCTCCAACTGCAGCGTCGTGCTCGTCTTCATCTTCTTCCTCCTCTTTGGCTGGAGCGTCCTCGCGTTCGGCTTCATGGTGTCGTCGGTCTTCTCCAAGTCGCGCATTGGCACGTACGTCGGCATCATCCTCTTCTTTGTCATGTACCTCATCACGTCCGGCTTCTCGGCGACGACTGCCGAGTCGACCAAGAACGCCATGTGCATCTTTGCGCCCGTGGCCATGGCGTTTGGGGTTCAGACCATGGCCAACGCGGAGGCGAGCTCGCTCGGGATCACGTTCGGCAACGTCAACGAGCCGTACCAGAACTTTCGGTTCTCGACGAGTCTGTACTACATGGCATTTGACATTGTGCTCTACACGCTTCTCGGTCTCTACCTCGAGAAGGTTGTGCCCAAGGACTATGGCATCACGGAGAAGTGGTACTTCCTCGTCTCGCCGTCGTACTGGCGCAACAAGCGCAGCGCCGGTCTCGTCCAGACCAACCTCAACGTCGACGACGCGGCGTACGTCGAGGGTGCGGCCCACGACGCCATCGAGCCCGTGGGGATGGAGCTCAAGGCGCAAGAGGCGAGTGGTGAAGCACTCCAGATCCGCCAGCTCCGGCGCGATTTCAAGGTGCCGGGTGGCATCAAGGTCGCTGTGAAGGGCCTCGACCTCACCATGTACAAGAACCAGATCACGTGTCTTCTGGGGCACAACGGTGCGGGCAAGACGACGCTCATCTCGATGCTTACCGGTATGATTCCGGCGTCGGGCGGTGACGCGACCTTCAACGGCCTCTCGCTGCGCAACGACCTCTCGGAGCTGCGCCAGTCGCTGGGCATGTGTCCGCAGCACGACGTGCTCTACGCCGAGCTGACGGTCGAGGAGCACCTGATCTTTTACGGCCGCATCAAGGGCTTCTCGGGCAAGGCGCTGAATGAAGAAGTCGCCGACAAGATTGCTGAAGTCGGCTTGACGGAGAAGCGCCATGTGGCGTCGAGCGAGCTCTCGGGCGGCATGAAGCGCAAGCTGTCGCTGGCGATCGCGCTTCTCGGGGACAGCAAGATTGTCTTCTTGGACGAGCCCACGTCTGGCATGGACCCGTACTCGCGCCGGTCGAGCTGGGAGATCATCATGAACAACCGCATGAACCGCATCGTGGTGCTGACGACCCACTTTATGGACGAAGCCGATATCCTCGGCGACCGGATTGCCATCATGGCCGAAGGGCAGCTGCGCTGCGTCGGCTCGTCGCTCTTTCTCAAGAACCGGTACGGCGCCGGCTACAACTTTGCGCTCGTTCGCACCGAGACGTGCGACACAACGGCGCTGATTGCGTTTGTCCAGTCGCACATTCCGGTCGCCAAGGTGCTCTCAAACGTCGGGACAGAGATGTCGTTCCAGCTGCCGCTGGATCACGCGCCGTCATTTGCAGCCATGTTTGCGGATTTGGAAGCGCAGAGCAGCGACCTCGGTGTCCTCTCGTACGGTATCTCGGTCACGACGCTGGAAGAGGTCTTTATCAAGGTGGCGGAGATTGGCGACGAGCACCAGCAGCACACGCTCCAGCCCCGCAATGATGCGAGTCCGCTCCTCTCGCCCGCCGGCTACAAGATCAACACGGCCGAGGCGCCGCCGAGTCGGCTTCGCATGTTTGGCCGTCACTTTGTCGCACTCTTCAAGAAGCGCTTCCGCACGGCCAAGCGCGACAAGAAGATTGTACTCTTTGGCGCTGTGCTTCCGGTTGTCTTTTTGATTCTCGGCATGTGCATTCTCAAGTTCAGCTCGCTCTCCAAGAACGACGCGGCCATGTCCATCAACCTGCAGAGCTACGGCAGTTCGACGCCGGTGCCCGTGACGTGCCAAGGTGACGCAGCGTGGTGCGCGGCGTTCCCAGCTGCGTACGCGGCTGGTAAGGTCTCGCTTCTCTCAGTGCCGACGCCAGCGTATCCGACCAACAACCCGACCGTGTTTGGCATCACGTACACCAACCCAGCGATCGCAGCCAATGACACGACTGGCATCTGCCTTGCCACTGGCTACGAGGTGTACCAGCGCGGCTACGGTGGGGCCGGAGCGACGTCGGTGCTCGGTCAACTCGGCGGCTACGTGCTCCAGGCGTCGTCGGTCGACAACACGTACGGCTATAACGTGCTCATCAACACGACGGCTGTGCACGCGGCGCCCAACTACAAGGCGGCGATTGACGAGACGCTGTACCAGCTCTTTACGCAGCAGCCTGGCATCACGCTCAAGGTGACGAGCCACCCGCTGCCGCTGACCGCCATGACCAAGACGCTCTTCACGACGTTCATGTCATTTGCGACGTCGATCTTTGTCGTGCTCGCGTTCGCCTTCTTCACGGCGTCGATTGTCCCGTATCTTGTCAACGAGAAGCACCACTCGCACAACTCCAAACACCAGCAGCTCGTGTCGGGCGTGAGTCTTCCGGCGTTTTGGCTCGCCAACTTTGCGTGGGACATGCTCCTGTTTATGATTCCGTGTGTCATCGGTCTTGTTGCGATCTACCTCTTTGACATTACGCCTTTCACGGGCCACGACTGCTTTGGTTGCGCGGCCAACCCGTTCGGCGCCGTGATTGCGCTCTTTGTACTTTTGGGTTTTGCGCTCTGCTCGTTCTGCTACTGCCTCTCGTACCTCTTTTCGGAGCCGGCGTCGTCCCAGACGTACACGATAATGACCAACATCGCGCTCGGCACGGTCCTCATGACGGTCTCGGTCGTTCTCGACGTCATCGACTCGACAAAGGACATCAACCCGTCGCTCAAGTTCATTTGGCGCCTCTCACCGCTCTTTTGCGTCGGTAACGCGCTCAACCAGCTCAGCATCTACACGATCCGGTCGACGTTTGGCCGCACGACCAAGGAAGTGTCGTCCTTCAGCACCGACGTCATTGGCTACGAGATCATGTACCTCGCCATTGAAGCTGTGCTCTTCCCGATCCTCGCGATCGGCATCGACTATGCGCTCAGCTTCCCCAAGATCAAGGCCAAGCTCTCCAAGGACCCGGTCATCGTCGACGCACCAGTGGACATTGACGTCGACGTCCAAGCCGAGGCGGATCGCGTCAACAGTGGTCGCGCCGACAACGACGCTGTCGTCATGCGCAACCTCCGCAAGGTCTACAAGGGCGGCAAGGTCGGTGTGTCCAACATTGCGCTCGCTCTGCCCAAGGGCGAGTGCTTTGGGTATCTCGGTATCAACGGTGCTGGCAAGACGTCGACGATGAAGATGATGACGGGCGACGTGCTCCCGACGTCGGGCACGGCGACGCTCGGCGGCTTTGACATTCTGTCGCAGCAGATCGAGGTGCGCCGGCTCATGGGCTACTGCCCGCAGTTTGACGCGCTCATGGATCTCCTCACGGTCCGCGAGCATTTGGAGCTCTTTGCGGCGATCAAGGGCGTGCCGTCCGGTCGCATCAACGATACCGTCGCTGAGAAGATGACGCAAATGAACCTCAACGACTTTGAGCACAAGCTCGCGGGCACGTTGAGCGGTGGCAACAAGCGCAAGCTCTCTGTCGCGATCGCCATGATTGGTGCGCCGCCCATCATCTTCCTCGACGAACCGTCGACCGGTATGGACCCGGTCTCGCGCCGCTTCATGTGGGACGTGATCGCCGACATTTCGACGCGCTCGAAAGAGTCGACGATTCTCTTGACGACCCACTCGATGGAAGAGTGCGAAGCGTTGTGCACGCGTGTCGGTATCATGGTCGGTGGCCGCCTCCGCTGCCTCGGCAGCATCCAGCACCTCAAGCACCGGTTCGGTGACGGCCTCATGATGCACATCAAGCTCGCGCACGTCCCGGGCGATGCGATCCTGGACTTTGTCGAGCGCGAGTTTGGCGCGACGCCGACACTGAGCCTCGAAGACGCGCAGGAAGCGTGCCGCCGCCTTGGCAAGCCGCAGCGCAGCAGCTGCATCGCGATGGACCACGCGACAGGGTACACACTCATGGAGTCAATCGCGAAGAACCAGTACATCCGCGCCCGCGACTTTTGCACGTGGTGGCTCACGGAAGACCGGTTCGAGGCGTTCAACGCCTTCTTGGCGACCGCGATGGGGGCTGGTCATGCGCAGCTGCTCGAGCGCCAGAACGACGTCGCGCGCTTCAAGCTCGTGAGCCCGACCACGTTGCTCCTCTCGTCCGTCTTTTCGATGCTCGAGGGCTGCAAGGCCGCGTACCACGTTGAAGAGTATACGGTGGCGCAAACGACCTTGGAGCAAATCTTCAACAACTTTGCGAGCCAGCAGACGCAAGAGAAGGGCGTCGCGCGCGGCATGGTCGTCCCGACGTCCGAGGTGCATGAAGACTACGTCGCTGTGCGCTAGCTGCCTTTATATTTTATACATACTCTCGTAGTTTAATGGTATCTTTGTTTCAACTGGCGTCGGCAGACGACTTTGTACATACTTGAGCAGAGGTCCTGAGGAACATCAAATCGTAGCGTTGATACCACGAGGGCGCCACCTGGTCGGTGCAACGACCTAAGACCATATAAGATCTTGTCTTGTGTCAACGTCCGACCGTGCCGCCGTCGGATAGCCCGCCGCCGGATAACAAGGAACGAGGGTGTGACGTGGTTGTTGACCTTGACGGCAACGACGCCGTCGTCGGATCTCACCGCCGCCGTCGGACCCGCCCTCTCCGACGGCGCCCTTGGCATGCCGACTCGCCGATAAGGTGGCAACAATGGCAGCTCACTTTGCCTTTTCACCTTTGCTTGCGATGGCGCCTTCCCTTCGCACGTCGACGCCGCCGCTGCCCGTGACGCTTCTCTCGGGGTTCCTTGGCGCGGGGAAAACGACGCTCCTCAAGCGCATCCTCGAGTCGCCCGAGCACAAGCTGCGCATCGCGGTCATCGTCAACGACATGGCTGAGCTCAACATTGACGCCAAGCTGCTCCAAGGGCCCGGCGTTGTCCAGACCAAGCCCGAGTTTGTCGCGATGCAGAACGGGTGCATCTGCTGCACGCTCCGCACCGACCTCATTCGCGCGATCGCCGACATTCGCGCCCTCGGCGTCTATGACTACCTCGTGATCGAGTCGACGGGTATCGCCGAGCCGATGCAGGTGGCCGAGTCGTTTGCGTTCGACGTCGAGACAGCGACGCTTGCGACAAGCGACGACAAGATGCTCGCGCATCTCGCAGCGCTCGACACGTGTGTGACGGTGGTCGACGGACTCGAGTTTCCCAACCTCGTGTCGTCGACGCGCCAGTTCCACGAGGTCTTTCCGGTTGAAGACGACGGGAGCAGCGAAGGCACCAAGCACGTGAGCCAGCTCCTCATCGAGCAAGTCGAGTTTGCCAACGTCATTGTCCTCAACAAGATGGACCTTGTGAACGACAAGTCATCGGTTCTTGCGCTGCTGCGGACGCTCAACCCGCACGCGGCGATCGTCTGCGCCGAGTATTCCAACGTGCCGATGGAGACCATTCTGCACACGAAGCGCTTCAACCTCGACGACGCCAAGGAAAGCGTCGGCTGGATGGAGTCGCTACGCAGCGAAGAAACGAAAAGCGAGCAAGACGAGTACGGCATTGGGTCGTTTGTGTACCGGGCACGGCGCCCGTTCGACCCGACGCGCCTTGCGCTCTGGGTGCGCCAGCACTTTGGCCTCAAGGGCGATGTCGTGTTTCCCGGCGACCGCGCTGCGCCGTGGCAGCTGCCGAGTGCGCCGTCGCCGATTCTGCGCTCGAAAGGCTTTGCGTGGATTGCTGGCCGCGACGACACGATGGTCGAGTGGAACCAGCACGGCCGTCTCCTCTCGCTCTCGCCGCTCCAGCCGTGGTGGTGTGTGCAGCCCGAGGCCGACTGGAACGTCCCGGCGGCCGACGCAGCGCTCATTCACTCGGACTATGTTGCTCCGTTTGGTGACCGCAAGCAAGAGATTGTCTTTATCGGTGCCGACATGAACCGACGCGAGATCGAGGCATCGTTGAACGACTGCTTGGTGAATGACGCTGACCTCCAGCGTCTCGTCGGCGTCGACGCCTTCTCCACGACGCAGCCGCTCCCACTCAAGATCCCGAAGCGGTCGTTGTCCGACCCGTTGCCCGCGTGGCCCGAACGCCTCGACGAGACGGCGCCGTGGGCCACGGTCGTCCGTGCCGGTCAGCCCGCTCCGTTTGTTGTCGGCGTCGGCGGACGCCTCTCGATCGCAAGCCTTTGCCTCCGCGTCGCACCGACAATGGTCGACGACAACGGCTACGAGGTCGAGGCGTCGGACGTACCTTTTGCCGCTGTTCAGGTGTGGTACGACAACACGGCCGGCGACCGCACGCTGCTAAGCACGCTTCGCCCGACCACGTCGACGCACGTCAACTCGACGATCGTCGTGCCAGGCGGGGACGCCGAGAACGAGGTCGTGCACCGGCTCCGACTGCAGCTGGTGGTCTCTGGTGCCAAGCGCAAGACGAGCGAACACTTGAGCGACGCTGCCGCGTGTTTGGAGGTTCATGTCATTGGCGATGTCGAGGGTCCACCGGCTGAAGACGACGGCGAGGACGACGCAGCAGAAGGCGAGAATGCGGAAGGCGAGGAGTATGACGACGCTCATGACCACGACCATGACCATGACCATGACCATGACGATAGCGATGACGACGACGACGAAATGTAGATAGAGTCCACAAGTGTTAGTAGATACCAACTAAATAGAAGATATTGATGTAACTAAATAGAAGGTATTGCTGTTACCAAATCATTTGATGTCCATCAACGCGACTCAGTTCTCAGATGCCTCCAAAAATAGAATTCACAGTTTCTAAAAATAAAATAAATGCGTACACACAAACTTACGTTTTCTATGCATCTTTCAAACTTATATTATAAAACATCGCAAAAAATCATTTGATGGCGTCTGGCGCGAACGCCAACTGCAAAAGTCGACGCCACCAAAAATGACGCAAATGACCGACGCAGACGCCGACCGCCGCCGCGACCCAGATCCCTACATGAAATGAATGGCCAAGAGCGACGCGATCTGATATCCGGATAGCAGACCGCGCCACCGCATGCACCAGACATTTGGCCATTTGGAGCAGATTCCTAATGCGGTACTTGCTCTACAACTTGATTCTCGACAAAGCCCGGCGCGACAGAGCCCATAAAGCACAACTCCGCGCCTCGGAAGCATGCGAGGCAGCGCTCCGCGACGAGCTGCGCGCCGAGATCGAGCAGATTCAGCGCGTGCGCCGCGCGTTCCTGCCGCGCGTCGAGGAGCACCGGCCTTGGTACAAGCTCCACCGTGGACGCAACGCTGCCGCCTTTCTCAGTTTCGTGTCGTTGCCGCCAGAAGCGTTTCGCGAGCTCTTGACGGTGTTTGCGCGGCACTATGACATCAAGTCGGGGGCTGGGTTGCCCGGGCGGCCGACCAGCGTGCCCAAGCACGCCGCGCTCGGCCTCGTGCTCGCCATGTACACGAATGCGCACAACATGCCGCGTCTCTGCGAGCTCTTTGGTGTGACCATGTCGACGCTCAGCCGCATCTTTCCCAAAGCCGAGGCGGCGCTCGCATTGGCGCTTGCCGACGTCCCGAACGCGGCCGTGGCGTGGCCGACCCAGGCGACGCTGCAGCGATTCGCAGCCGCGACGGAGGCACGGTCGCCCGAGGTCTCGGGTGTCGTTGGATTCGTTGATGTATGCACGCTCGCCGTGCAGGCCCCGACGGTCACCGACCGCCGCCGCTTTGAAGACACAGACGGTACGACTCGTAAACGTATGACCAAAGGTTTGACGCATCGAGCCAGAGGCAAAGTGGCTCGACTGTGATGCAGTCTGGGGCATGCTGATCGTCGGCGTCGATGGGACCCTTTTATGGTACAAGCACAATTTGCCCAACTTTATCGACATTGCTCTCGACGTCTACGAAGAACTCGAGCACACAGCCGCGGACAAGTTGCGACCCGACCACATCCTTGTCGCGCCGGCGACGTTTCCAGTGACAAGCGAGAGCGACGGCCGCATTGAGACGCCGCTTGCTGCTGCCGATGACGACGACATTAGTATAAGCGAAAAGCAAGGTATCGCGTCGCTGCTCGGCGCCGCCGAGTGGGGCACGGCCCATATAAAGCGCGTTTACCGAAAGTTCGGGCACCCGCTGCCATTTGACCGCGAGCTGCGTCGTCGGCGCATCAGTAACATCCTCCGCCTCTACAACTTTCGTCTCCGGAGCATGGGCACGAGTCCGCTCCATGCGGCCTTGACCGGAGGCGTCTAAATTTCGATACAATGGCGTGCTGTTGTGCCATTGTCAGAGCACACGTCCTGACCTCTGCGCCTGATAAAAACAACATGCAGTGTGCCTGCAACGTGTATTCGCCCTTGTATTAACGGCCCGATCGTAGTCGAGCAGCTAAATCTTCAAGAGCTTGTCGCGGAGAAGCGACCGCATGTTCCAGCCGTCGCCATACCGCGTGCCATAGTCGGCCTTCCAGCTCCAAAACGTCCAGCCCGCCTTGGCCGAATCGAGTGCGTTAACGAGGCGCTGGCCGAGAAGAGCGACTTTGGCGTCGTCCTGGAATTGCGCTTGGGCCGAGTCGGGGTGCCCGAGGCTCCACTCGCCCATAAAGACGCGGTTGTTGCCGCACCACGCTTTGAGGTCCTTCTCAATGTTGTCGACGCCGCTCGACGTAATCTGGTCCATGTTCTGGCCTTCAAAGCCCCATTTCAGGTACTTGTGCCAGTCGATCCAGTTGTTGACGGGACTGCTATCGGGAAAGAGCGCGCCCCACTCGCCATGGGCACTGTCTTGCTCCGACAGAAACGGCGAAATGACCACGACGCAGTCGCCGCAGAGCGCCCGCGTCGTCGCGTACAAGTCGCGGTAATATTGCTTGAGCTTTGCGCGGTCCGTGCCCTTCTTCTGGTCTTGCCACCACTCGGGTTCGTTGAGCAGCTCGATGCCGAGAAACGCCGGTGCGCGCTTGTACCGGTCCACAAGAAAGAGTACCGTCTATTCCAACCTGACGGTTTCAGGTTGAAGTTGAAGTGCAATACCTCAATCGTGCGGTCGACGTTCACCGCATAGTCGGTGAAGTTGGTCGCGCCAAACACGGGCGCCGCGCTGTGCTCGCGGCCGTTCTGGGAGCCCTTGGCGGCGTGGATGTCCAGCAGCACGGCGACGTTGTACTTGATGGCCCACTCGTTCATGAGTCGATCGAGGTACGCGAGGCCGCCGGGCGTAAAGTGCTGCCAGTCGGTCTCCTACGTAGCGTTAGCGACCGCCGCAAGGTTGTGCGTAGATGCTAGTACCTGCGGTTTTTCGTAGATCCACCAGCCCACGGGCACACGAACCAAGTTCATGCCATATGAGGCAATCTCTTTGATGTCGTCTTCGGTGATCCACGCGTCGCGGTGCATCTTGATGAGCGGGTCCGCTGTCGCGCGCCCGACGGCCGCCATCGCCGCGTATTCGCCATGGTCCTTGATGCTCTCTGGCACCTTCTTCCAAATCTCAGCGTACGAGGTCATCCAGCGCTCGAGGACGAGCCACCCGCCGAGGTTGACGCCCCGCGCCGTCGCGGCGCCCGACCGAATCGTCGTCTGCACATGGCCGTGCACGAGCGACGTCGCCGTGAGCGATACAAGCAGACACAAGAGCAGGCAGCGTCCCATAGTATCCAATTCAAAAATGAAAATTTGGGAACCGACTGCAAACGTGAGGAAAGAGCGCGTGTGACGATAGAGTACAGTGCGTCAGCCAGATTCCAACAGACGCGTGGCCTCATACTACCGTAATGCACAGGACAAGACACTGGACGGAACAGGGCGGAGATACCATCGGCCCACGGGTGTGTCGTCGACGTTTGTGTCGGCAGCTGTCACACCGTTGCGCAAGACGCTTCCGGTCGATCTCCAGGTCACTCGCTGTCTGCCAAAGCACTGCAGAAGTGTGTTTGTTGTCCTCTACGACAGGCAAGAAGCTATTGTCGAGCGTCCGATCGAGTCAGTATTCGGTTTCTCGCCGACGACCACAAACATGTGCTTTGGCGGCGCGTCGTCCCCACCGTACGTTTTATCAGTGGTCGAAAGCCAGACCGCCCGTGCGATGATACTTCGCAGAAGCCATTTTTGAAGTTTCAATTCATGAATTCGACTTTGCGATTGAAACACTAGATTGCAATTCGGTAAATTCCGTTCGGCTGCTTGAGTGTTGAAATGAGTTATTAACATGCAAATATATAAATATCTCAATAGACTCATTCCAACAACAACATGCAAATATATAGTGAAAATGGTGGACTTCCTAGTGCACTTGTGAGGTTTGGCCGGTACGTCAAGCTGAGGGCGCGTGGTCGGGGCTCGGGATTGAGTGAGGGATGTGGCAGCGAGCACACCAAGGGTCGGCGCGTAGGGCATGGAGCGACTCGGCCAGCGAAGGCTCCACGGCGCGGCGAGCCAAGTGCCGGATATGCAATCGCGGCTTTGATCGCGAACGCAGCCGCGGGAAGGGGTGTCAATGTCGTGCGGAACACGCGGTTGTTGCGCTCGAGTCAAAGACTGTGTACCAAATGCAAGCGCGCAAGATCGGCCAGAGGGCACGGATGGTCGACTTGTGGGCTGAGAACGGCAGAGCGACTGCGTCGTAGAGGAAGCCACCGCCCGACGACGGATGTTGCAGCTGCAAGGTATCGCGCATGTTTGAGTGTACTCGCCTCGCCTAGTCCTACACTACTAGGATATTTATTTTTCGAGCCTCAAGAGAGGAGTGCACGCTCGTCAGTCGCAACGATACGAAGAAAGAAGCTCTTTTTTATAAGTTAAAAAACACACTCTGTTCATTTGGCCGTCTACGCCAGCGGCGGTTGCTGCTGCATTGCTGCCGGTCGAAAGTGCGTGCGCACCCAGTTGGCGAGCGTCTCGTCGCTGAACTGGAGGTGGTCGTCCGGCGTCTCGTAGAGCGTGATTTTGCCGGCTGCGTCGAGAGACCGGAGCCCAAAGGCGTCAGTGGTGTACCATGGTGTCGCGTTCATCTGCAGCAGCGTCGACCAGTCGCCATCCTTGTACGCACCAAACCACGACGAGAGACTCGGCGCCACCTACATATCCTCCATATAGCATCCCTTCGCTTGGTCCTGGCAGTTTGTACTTGGCTGTCGCGCATGGCACGGACGAGCACGAGCTGCCGAAGCGACTTGAAGTGTGCAGCGTACGTCGAATTGACGGTCGCCAACTCGTTGTTGAGGTCGGGTAAGAAATGAACTACACGTCTTTTCTACACTGTGGTCATATTCGACGAGCGTACCGTGGTCGAGGTACTCATGGATGCGTGTGGGGTCGCGATAGTAGTTGCTCTGCGCCAAGTGCACTACGCCAGTATACCAGTTCGGAGGGATAAAGGGCATGGAGGCGTACCTTGGAGCTCGTCTGAGTAGGCAACAGCGCCCACAATCTTGTTGAGCTGGCGGCAGCCAAAGTCGTTGGGGTTGCAGATCGGGAGCGCGCCAATGCCGGCGAGCGGGCTATGGCACGCGAGGAAGCCAATCACCGGCGGGTCGTTGTAGCGCTCAATGTACGCGCGGAGGATGAGCCCGCCTTGCGAGAAGCCGATGCCATGGAAGCCCTTGCGCAGGTTCGGGTCCTTGGCGACGATGGCGGCGAAGCGACGGACCTGCTCGTCCATGGTCAAGTGCACGCTGTTGTACTCGTCCTCGGCGACGTTCTTGCCGATCTGGACGCTCGTCACGTAGGCGCCGTCGAGCGTCTCGGAGACCACGTTGCGCATGCGCTCCATGTGGCCATTGTGCCCCGCGTCGTTCATGCCATGCATCATGACAACAGGAAAGAAGGCCGAGGCCGGACCGTCGACGTACACGGTCGGAACGTCGATGATGTACTCGTTCTCGAAGGCCTTGGGCGGCGACTGCACCTCCCAGACCAAGGAGCCCGAGACGGCCATGAGGAGGATGCGGACGACGACCGACTGGAGCATGCTGCTGCTGCTGCGGCGCTGACCGACACGATGGAAAACCGACTGAGGATGGATGCCCATCAGGGATTGGATGAAACTATGCCGCATGTGGATTGGCGGAAATCCATGGACTTGCACCAATCATAATTCGAGAAAGTGGAGGTCGTTTCCGCCCTCTTCAGATTTCCATTGCAGTCACTAGAAATCCAATGGAGCGTTGCGGATCCCAGCAAGAGCTCCTCGACGCCAGGATCTTCCTACCCGCCGCACTGTACTAATGTACTAACTAGATTCAAAGGACCACGCGCGTAATTTTGTCCTTACCGACCCCGGAGAAAGACTACAGATCAATTTTTATTAATAATACTTGCGGATTTAAGCTGGAAAATCGGAAGACCAGCTCACTCGAATTGGATTCATAGCTGCCAGTGTAATTGCGCTGGAATATACTTTGCCGTGCAAGCAGCGTACTGGGCACCGACTAGAAGTAGCAGCCTCCGAGTGTGAACTCTGGTTTTGAATCCAGCCACGATGTGGTTGATTACGCTATGTTGACGGAAAGATGCGAGAAGCTCGCATCGGATTGGTCCATATAGATATATTTTTCACCCAATAAATCGTCTTCATATCTTTTTGGACCAAGATGCGAAGTCCGCTGACGACGATCGGGGCGATGGCCCTCGTCCTCATGGGCCTTGCCGACGCCTCCGGAGGCGCATGGACCGGCGCCGACGCGCTGGCGACGAGTAGCCAGACCCTCGCCGAGGCGAGCCCATTCATCCTGCGCTTCGATGACGCCATGGCCGCGGAGATGGCCATGAGCTCGGCCACGGGTGTCTATGCTGGTGGCATGGACGACAACTTGCCCGTCGTGCTCATGCATGGCATGGGCGATGCTGCGGGGAACCCTGGCATGCAGCGCCTCCGCAAGGTACACTGCCCCTCGCTATCGTATCGTTGGCTCATGCTCGTCCTCATAGGCGGTCGCTGCGCACCTCAACACGTACGTGACGAACGTCCAGATCGGCGACTCGGTCGCTGCCGACTCGTCCAACAGCTTCTTCATGAAGTTTGACACCCAAGTCGACGTTTTCGCCAAGCAAGTTGCCAATGTACAAGCTTCTTGCTTCTCCAACCGGCTCATGCTCGCGCGTAGGACCCCAAATTGGCGCAGGGCTTCAACGCCATGGGTTTCTCGCAAGGCAACCTGCTCATCCGTGGGTACATTGAGCGCTACAACACGCCGCCGGTCAAGAACTTTATTTCGGTGCACGGCCCGCTGGCCGGTGTCGGGGCGCTGCCCCACTGCGCACCGACCAACTTTATCTGCAAGCAAATCAACGCCGTACTCGTCTGGCTTCGTTGAAGTATGTTACCATGGCGCCTTAGGTCATCTCGGCTGCTGCTTACACGGATACCGTCCAGGGTCTGCATCGACATCTTCTGGGTGCTCGCTCAAGGTCATGCTGTGCTAGGCAAGCTCGCGCAAGCCAACTATTTTCGAGATCCAAACCAAATTGCTGCCTACGTCGCCCACGGTACGTACTACGCAGTTTGCGCTCAATGGTCTGGTGTACAGAGCGCGGTCTGCGTAGCGCTCTTCCTCCCCGACATCAACAATGAAAAGTCGGTCACGGTGCCCGAGTACAAGACCCGGTTCGCATCACTCACGCACCTTGCGCTCGTCCGCGCCGCGCACGACACGATGGTGTACCCTCATGTACGAGCTCTTGGCGATCGACGTACAGATGCAGTGTGGCGCGTGTAGGAGTCGGAGTGGTTTGGGGCGTACGCCGACGGTCAGAGTGACGTGGTTTTGCCCATGAACGTAACGCAGTGGTACCAGAAGGACTCGTTTGGGCTCGCGACGCTTGATCGCAGCGGCCGTATCACGCTGTACGAGACGCACGGGGACCACCTCCAGGTCTCGACCGCTGACCTTCTTGGCTGGATCGACGCTCATTTTGTCAGCAACGCGGCCAGAACGGCGTAAACACTTTGCAGTTAATGGGCAATGACACGCTTGCAGTTGTCGCACGTCTTGTTGCAGTCCTTGCGGTTGAACGTCTGCCCGAAGTACCCCACGAGGTACTGGCGTCGACAGCTCGTCCGGTCTTCGCAGTAGTCCATCATCTTTTCGAGCTTGTCCATGTGCACGGCGCGGCTCTTGGCATTGTTGCCCTTCTTGGGCATGTTGATGATGCTCTTCATCTTGACGACGTCGCGTCTACGTTCGCGATCTTAGTTTTGCACAGCTCAGAAGATGTCAAGACGTTGGCGAACCGGCTGTAAAAGATGGTGCAGCGGGACGGGTTGCCGTCACGACCGGCACGCCCCGCCTCTTGGTAATATCCCTCGACGCACTTGGCGACCGCGTAGTGAATCACGTAGCGCACGTCGGGCTTGTCGATGCCCATGCCGTACCTGGAATGCATCATAAGAGACTGCAACCGTATGGATAAGAACGGAATGTACGCGATCGTGGCACAGACCACCTTGATCTCGCCGCGCTGCCACGCGTCTTGGACGAGCTCGCGGTCGCTGGACGACTGGCCCGCGTGGTAAAAGTCGGCCAGGATTCCTCGGTCAAAGAGGTAGTTGGCGACGTCTTCGGACTGCTGCTTGGTCATGCAGTAGACGATGCCGACGACCGAGTTGTCGTACTTTGTCTTGATGTACTTGTAGAGTGCTTCGAGCGCCTTGCCCTCTAAAGTCTAAACTACTGCAACAGGCCGGCGAGGTTTGAAGTGTGTACCTTCCGGGTCCTTCTCGATGACTTCGAATCTAGAGCGCTGTCGAATCAATCGATCGGGTTGTCTCCGCGTGTACGTACGCCAGGTTCGTGCGGTTGAAACTCATGGAGAAGATGGTCGCGCGGGGAATCTTGAGCACCTTCTTGACGTTGTCAATGACCTTTTGCGGCGCCGTGGCCGTGAGCGCCATCATGGGCACGGTCGGAAAGAGGTCCTTGATGTTCCCGAGTTTGTGGTAGTCGGGGCGAAAGTCGTGGCCCCACGAGCTCACGCAGTGGGCTTCGTCCACGACGAAGCGCGCCAGCATCTTCTACCTCGCATCAAGTAGCGTCAACCTGCATGCATGCACGAGGTGGTATGTACCCGCTGATGAAGGCTCTCGAGGACTTGGATCAAGCTGTCCGAGGCTGCAAGGCGCTCCGGTGTGACGTAGAGGAGCTTGAGCGTCGGGATTGGGCGGTGCAAGTCGCGCCAAATGGCCTTCTTGAGCTTGGCCAAGGTCTGGCTCGAGAGAAAGGCCGCGGGGATGCCCACGGGCTGGTTCCGGACGAGCGACGTGACCTGGTCTTGAATGAGCGACAGTAGCGGTGACACGACGATCGTGATGCCGGGCGAGAGCACGGCCGGAAGCTACATGTCGTTGGAAGCGCGGTCGTCGACTTCGATGGATCTACCTGGTAGCATAGGCTCTTGCCGCCGCCCGTGGGCATGAGCACGAAGACATCCTGGCCCTTGAGCGTCGCCTCGATCGCATCCCGCTGGTTCCGCCGGAAGCCGTCGTTGCCGAAGATGGCCTTGTTGGCCCGCGCGATCTGGTCGTCGCGGACGCCCGCGTTCAGGAACGACTCCATTCTTGCTGTGGGCCGAAACCTTCACGCGCCGGATACCATCCGGATACGACGACCAATTTGGCGCCAAACGAGCGCGACCGATCTTGGCGCTCGTCACTCGACGCTTGCAGCGGTAAGTCAAAACTGAATTGTGTTCAAGGGCAGGTCGACGTGCGTCCACTGCTTGATCAACAACGCACCAGTGCAGTATCAAGGTCATAACGTTTCCTTGGTATGCGACGCCAACGGCCTGAGCTTCTTCTCGGGGCTCAACGCATCCATGTACCACGTTGTCGGCAAGCACATGACCTTGCTAAGGCGACCACGGCCGAGCACCTCGTCGGCGACCCCGTGTCGATGGCGAACATCGTTGCGCTCGGCAGTGTGATTCCAGTCGCCGCCTTTGTGGCCAGGTACGGCTATCACTGCCAGCACCTGCATTTCAGCGCTCCTAGGCGCGCTGCGCCGGTGCGTTGAGCTGAATCCGCTTGCGCACGAGATCGTCGTCGTCGCATCAACCGTTGCGCTTGTGTGTGTCACGTCGCAGTACGTCGCGATGTTTCTCGTCACCTTTGTGGGCTTCTTGTGGCTGTTTTGGCATCAATTTGACTGGTAGGGGCGTCGCTTGATATGGCCGTTGCTGCCGTGTCGCCGTCATGACGAGGGTACCACACTCGTGTTTGCAAGCGGCTTTGCCATCTCGTTCGTCGGCGTGTGCTGCTATTGCGGCCGATACCATGGTCTCATCGAATGCGTCTTTGCTGCTCTCTGCCTCGGCGTTAGTGCCGTGCTCCTTCGCGATGTAAACTATGAGGCGGTCGACGTAAACTGCGTTGTCACCACGTGGGCTGGGCGGTGTGGAGCCTCATTCCGCTGTGATGGGTTCCGCGAACACCCGTGGCCTCGCTGCTGCTCTGCGCGCTGATGGACGAGCCCGAACGTGCCGTGGCTCTGGATTGCCGGGGATGTCGGATGTATTTTTGTGCAATTTTGATGGCAAAAACCTTGGTGGCCGACCGCGTCATGATGGACGCCGCCGTGTGGCGTTCCACTGCGTCGTGGCCGTCTCTGGGTGTCCGCCACTCGGGCTCCTCGTGTTTCTCCCGTGGTTCATTGTTTTTTTACGATGCGGTCGTGGCCCGACTTTCAATAGCCGAAAGAAGCGTCTTCATGTTGAATTACATGTGTGTATAAGATATCAGAAACACAAGGGTTGATAACGTCATGTCTTTTGAATCACAACGACTGCTATTGTACGTGGCTATCATGCGAGCGAATAGCGTGCTCAATAATGGCTTGAATGCGCACTCGGCGACAACAGCAACGACATTCCTGCGTTTGTTTGTGACAGTACCCCCTGTACGAATAAGGTCGTGACACGGTACGTAGGGCCAAGCTCGGCCTTTGCTCTATTAACCCTCCCGCGACGTTGACCCTCCCGCGTTAAGGAGGAGTTCCGAGTAACCTGTGAGACGGGCAACAGCCAATCAGAGGCCAGGAAAAAAAAGCATCCCGTCTCGTGCGCGTGGTTGTCGGCCGACCCCCAGGACCTCAGCTCGCACCAATTCATCCCGTCTCGTGATTACGCGATTTGATTGGGCAAATCGTTGGATGGAGACACGGAGCAAAAGTCGCCTTTGCAGTTGACATTTTCGATTGCAATGGCCACAAAACTCGAGCAACATGATGTCCACGTGTAGGTTGGCTTAAGTGGAGCTCGCGCTCACTTTCTTGGTACTACAACAAGGCTTTTGCCGGCTTCCGTCAAGAAGCGACCAAATTGGTTGGCTAAAATTCCATTGAATATTAGCCAATCATAGCGCAGATTGTTTTTGGTCGTATTTTGCAAAAATCGTTCCGAGTAAAATGTGCCCGTCTCCCATCCGTCCCATATTTTTACTCGGAACTCCTCCTAAACGTTCGATCCTTCTAATAGACCAACGGGTCGGACAAGACTTGACAACCATCTGGGCTTCTCGCAACCAAAGGAATACATAAAGTGGGGCCCTCGCTGGGACTCGAACACGGATCTTCCTGGTGGCAAACCAGCGTTTAATAAACTGCTAGGATACAAGAAATCGTCATGAAACTCTGCAACTATACGCAAGCTCTGAGTGGCCTGCACGTTCGGAGGGCATACGTTTGTCGACACTTATTTCTTAGAGGTTCTAGGCTGTTGTGTAAAGCGTGTCATTGTCGTATCTTTTGCAGCCATTCGTTGGGCTACACCGGTGTGCGGCGTCTACCGGTATTCGAGGCTCTAGTGTCGACGCATGGGAGAAGAGCCGCAGCTCTGAAGCAATCTAGTATGAGAGGAGGCGAGTGCAATAAGAACTACCGGTAAATCTGATAGAGTCCCAGAGTACACATTCATGTGGCGTTTTCAGGTCGGGAATGAAGCCGTTTCCATCTGTGCAGCCATTCCGCGTGAGATGAGCAGGGCATGGTCGTCTGTGAGATGTGCAACGTAGTACCAAGACCATATGAAATTTATGGCGTTGGCAGTCCCGGTGAAATTTTGATTCCGGCGCCGCAAAGTTGCCGATGCAACTCAAAGGAAACTGCGTGGGGTCGTAATAGCAATCACCCCAGTGGCAGACTCAGGGACACTACTGCAGACGTGAGGTCGTGGGAACCGATTAGCAGTGCGTGACGGTGGATATGACGTCAAGCAGAAGGCTCGTACTTGTCTGTGTACATATAATCTACACGCTTGATGCTTCCCTTTGACGAACGCGATACGAGGCTGCGATAAGGTGGTGCGCCGGTGTACTCGCATGGTCGATCCGGTGTGGCTAACTGAGAACGCAATAGAGTGGGATTTTCGATGGTGAAATTTTGCATTTTGATCCGGCATGACCCGTGACGGGGTCGAGCCACGTTATCAGGTCACGACACAGACCAATCGTACCACTTGGCTTTTGGTGTACAGTCGATTCTGCCTATTTGCATAGTGGATAACTATGCATTTTTCAGGGTTATTCATTGTGCGAGGAAGAATCACAAAACTGGGAGCAAAGGTCTGGCCTGCGCTTCGCCTTGGTCTTCCTCGTCGACGTACCGGTACCTTACGAAGGTGCACATCTCGTCGAGCGTCAAAAAGCGATGGGGCCAGCTCGTCGATTTCGCCGGTGTCCACGTACCTTGTACTCTTCCGCGGTGAAAGTGTCGAGTGCATTATAGAGCGTTCGAGCGCCGACCGGAAGTTCGTCCTTTGCCGCCCGGAGCCTGTCTATCGCCACGATTGGACTGGTCGTTGCATCATTGCCAGCGAGCAAGATGGCCGTAGTATGGCCCAGCAGTTCGCAATGGTCTCTAGGTTGACAACGTATTTTTATTCAATCCACTGCATAAATATTTCTGAGGTTATCACGGTGAGAGGATTATCGAGTTTGAGAGGCATGTATACCTGTAGAGTCGACTGTAGCATGTTTGGTCGTCGCATCGAGCCTGCCCGACTCAGCACTACGACTCGATGCACCCACGTCTACCGGTAGTAGTAGGTGTGGACTCCTCGTAGTGACACGAATCTGTGCACGACCCCACGCAGTGTTGCACGTTCACAAGTTTGTTGAAGGGCTCCAATACGAGATGAAAAGGCTTGCCCAACGCCTCCTTGCTCACTTTGCCTTTTGCCAGCGCCTCCTCAGCAGAACACATGGCGTCCGTGCAAGACCCATCCGGTGACCTCGTCGAGCGGCTCTCGTACGCCATCTCGGCGACCAAACCCGACGACTACCACGAGACCAAGACGCCGGTGGACCTCGAAGATGGCGCGCTCGTCGCGGGCGGCGCGGTGCGCATCTTTTCGCGCGAGGCCATGGCGCTCTTCTCGCAGTACTTTGCGATCGGCATCGTCTACGGCATGATCCCCGCGCTCAAGTACCCCGTCTTCAACAACTACCTCTACATGGAAGGCTACCAAACGACCGCATACGGTGTGCTCGTGACGCTCGGCTGGTCGTTCAAGGTCTTCTACGGTATGCTCTCGGACTGCGTCCCGATCTTTGGCTACCGCCGCAAGCCGTGGATCATCCTCGGCTGGACAGTCGCGGCCGTGAGCCTTCTCATCATGGTCTTTACGCCGTTTGCCGCACCGTTTTGCGACCGCCGCATCAACAAGTGCCCGAAGAAAGCCCCGAAACGCGAGAGTTTGACGCCGACGCAGCTCCTCCAGTACAACTACGACGCACCGGACAGCGGAACGCTCTTCATTGCCCTCAGTGTCCTCACGGCCTTTGGCTACGTCCTCGCCGACGTGGCGTCCGACGCCATGGTCGTCCAGTACGCGCAGCGCGAGCCGATTGCGATCCGAGGCCGCACCCAAACCATGATCTACATTGTGCGCTATTGCGGGCAAATGGTGGCGCAGCTCTGCGTCGCGTTCTTGCTCAACGGCAAGGTCTACGCCGGGTCGTTCAACTGGTCGACGACACCAAACGTCCTGTATGCGATCTGCCTCGTGCCCATCGTGCTTGTGATCCCGAGCACGATCTTCCTCCTCGTCGAAGTCAAAGTCCCGCGGACGCCCTTCAAGAGCTGGCTCACTGCGTTCTGGAACCTCCTTCAGCAGCGCGTCATGTGGCAAGTGTGCGCATTCAAGTTTTTCAACACGCTCTTTGGCAACTTTGGCGCGACGCCCGAAGCGCCGGTCGCGCAGTCGTGGGCGCTCGTCGAGCCGCTCAACGAGTCGCTCTCGGGGCTTTTTGGGACCATCATCAGCATTGTCGTCATGTCGGTCGTCGGCAAGTGGGGTCTCCAATGGAGCTGGCGCTGGGTCATCGCGCTCGGGACGCTCGGTATCATCGCGATCGACGCGTTTGTGATGATGATGACCATCTGGGAGGTCTATCGCAACCAGTGGTTCTACACGGGCGTCGCGCTCGCCGAGAACGTTCCGTCCGGCATCCGCTTCATCGTCGCCACATACTGCGCAGTGGAAATCGCCGACATTGGCAACGAAGGCGCCACGTACGGCCTCGTTACGACCGTCTCCAACCTCTCGGGGCCCGTGGCGTCGGCCATCTACAAGATCATCGACTCGTTCTTTGACGTGTCCCAAGATGACATTGGCCGCGACGACACGCGCGTGCGCTGGGAGGTGACGTACACCTTTCTCATTGCTTATGCCGCCAAGCTCTTCGCGCTCTCGTTTCTCGTGCTCCTGCCGCGCCAGAAGGCCGAGATGCAGGAGCTCAAGCGAACCGGTACCAAGAGCAAGGTCGCGGGTGGCATCTTGATTGGCGGCTTCCTCGTTCTCCTTGTGTTCTCGTGCGTCGCCAACTTTTTGTCGATTTATCCGTCGACGAAATGCTATCGCATCGTCGGCGGCAAGGGCTACTTTGCCAACGGCACCTGCAAGAGCTAGGCACGCTGCCACAAATTCCTCCTTTTGTCGTCTTGTAATGACGAGTCTTATATATCACTCGTTACCTTTTTAGTGATGCGTTTGTGTTTATCAATGTCGGGCATCTTCAAGTTTAGTGGGGCGTTTCCGTGGTGACGTCCCAACGATATTATGAATCGGGTTCAGACAAGGGTTAGGGTCTGATTCCTTGTCGAGCGCTACAGCGCGGCTGCTTCAGCAATCTCAATTCAAGCGGCCTCTTTACTTGCTACCCCTGCTCGTGGAAGTGGACTGGTCCTTGGCGGCGGCAACGGACAAAATGGAATTGTGAGGATGCGTCGTGCACAAGCGCATCAAACCATCATGGAATACCCTCCTCAGATACGTATATTTTGCGTTTTGAAGCATCCCATGATCGACAAAGATCGATTACAACTACCATTATGTCATGATATTGACGTCTGCGTCAGGTGACGATTCAGTTGTCATCGTCGGCGACCGCATGCGATCCAAATAGCCGCCTTCTTCGCAGAGCTCAAAGAAGATGCCCGTGCCGGCCTCGAGAAGCGCTAGCGGTGTATCGCACTGCACCATGTGGCCCTGGTCCAGCACCATGATGCGGTCGCCATCCAGGACCGTGTCGAGGCGGTGCGCGATGGTGAGGACGGTTGAATTTTCAAACGCGGTTCGCATCACTTGCTGCAGGTTCTGGTTCATCGCATGGTCGATCGCCGCCGTCGCTTCGTCGAGCACCACAATCTTGCTCTGCCGCAAGAGCGCGCGCGCCATGCACAGCATTTGGCGCTCGCCCACCGAGTAGTTTTCGCCGTTGTCTTCGATCGGACTGTTGAGCTTGAGCGCTTCGATCGAGACACGGGCGTCCATGTGCACTTTGGCAAGTACGTCCCTGAGCTGGTCGTCGGCGTAGTCGTCGAACGGGTCCAAGTTGGCGCGTAGCGTGCCCTGGAACAAAGTCGGATTTTGAGGAATGATGGCGATGCTTTGGCGCAGCGTTTTGAGGCCGACGCTCTTGGTGTCGATGCCGTCGATCGAGATGACGCCGGATGCGAGCTCGGCCATGCGGAAGAGCGCCATGGTCAAACTACTCTTGCCGGCTCCCGTGCGACCAACGATACCAATCTTCTCGCCCGACCGAATGTCAAAGCTAAGGTCTTTGAGCACGAGCGGGTCGTTGGGCTTGTAGCGGAAGCTGACATTCTCAAACGCAAGGCGTCCGGACGCCGGCCAAGCTGCCGGTGCCGCGCCACACATGTACCGCGGAGCCTCTGGTTCGATGTTGATGTACTCGGCGATGCGTTCGGGGGCGACCATGGCCGACTCGAGGTCAGACCACACCGCGACCATGCCTTCGAGGCTCGCCGTAATCTGGAGCGCATAGTTGAAGACAAGGCCAATCAAACCGGCCGTGAGGTAGCTGCGGAGATACAGCAGCGAAAACGTGGTCGCCAAAAGCATGCACGCCGAGATCATTTGGACGCGGAACGTAAACCACTGACTCAAAAGCGATTCGGCAAACATCAGTTCGACCGCGTGGTTGACGTGGGCCATGTGGAGGCGCTCAAAGCGTCGGACCTGCTTGCCGCCAAACGCGCGAACGAGAACGGTGCCTTCGATCGACTCGGATATGTGCGTCATGAGCGGGGACTGCGTCGTCTTGTTCAAGCGCTCAATCTCGCGCGCGGGTTGGACGTAGCGAGCGCCCACCGAGTAGTAGATGAGCATCGGGGGTAGCAAGAGGACGCTACAGCTGCGGATCACCACCATGGTCGTGCCGACTGCAAAGAGAAGCGTGAAGAGCGTCGCCAGAAAGTACCCCAACGCGAACGAGATGCGGCCGTCGATCTGGCTCATGTCGCCGCTGAACCGGTTGAGAATGCGCCCAACCGGGTTCGTGTCGAAGAACCGCATCGGCGCCCGAAGGAGCGACTGCGTAAGCTGGTTGAAGAGCACCTTGGACGCACGCATGCCGCACCACGAGACTGTGAGCGACCGCACTGCGATCATGAGCACCGATCCGAGCGCCAGGCACGCGTAGACGGAAATATGGTACGTGGCGCCATCGTGGAACGCGGTCGGCGTGGCGTTGTCGCTCGTCCAGGCGCTGAGCCAGAGATCGCTGCCGACCTGAAGGCTTTGCCAGAGCGACTGCACGAAAAGGAGACCCAGCAAAACGGGCCAGCCACCGACTGCGCCAAAGTACGAGGAAGACGACCTTGGAGACGCGGCCGTGGTTGCGCTCTTCGTCAACGACGAGCTTGCCGGTCGCATTGTCCAGCGTACTCGCTTCGTTATACGTCACGGCTGGTGACGCGCTGCTTGCCGGCGTGAAGAGGTGTTTTTGGTACACGGCGTCGCCAAAACCCGACTGCACGCACGGCGAAACTAGCGTATCAGCATACTCAAGGCTGACGTAGCTGTCATCGATCGTCAATGACGCGTCGTTGTCCAAGGTTGCATCGTCGCTGTCACGCATGGCGCTGTGTGCCTTGAAGGGCGTGAGCAGGATCGGGTGGTCCGCCTTGTTGGTGCTCCCATTGACATCCGACGGAATGAGCGTCCCGTCTCTGACCTCAATCGTCTGATCCACGTACGGTGACGCGATGATGTCGGGCGAGTGCGTCACCAGCAAGACCGTCTTGTGCCGGAGGAGACCGAGAAAGCACTTGGTAAAAATCTCGTTCTGGACGATCGCGTCGACGGCCGACAAGGGCGAGTCCAAAAGGAAGATATCGGCGTCGCTGTAGCACGCTCTCGCCAGCGCAATGCGCGCCTTTTGACCGCCGCTGACGTTGACACCTTTCGAGCCAATCTCGGTGCGGTCGCCGGCCGCAAAGAGCGTCAGGTCCTTGGTCAACGCGCACGCTTCGAGGACCGCATTGTACTTTTTGCGGTCGTACGGATGGCCAAAGAGGATGTTTTCGCGGATCGTCATGTTTTGAAGCCACGGCTGCTGCGCAAAGTAGGCAATGCGGCCGCTGACGCCGACCGATCCATTGTACTTGTCAAGTTCACCGAGCAGAACGTGGCAGAGCGACGACTTGCCTTCGCCGACCACGCCGTGGACCACGACAAACGCGCCACGCTTGACGACGAGGTTGACACTCGAAAAGAGCGGTGGCTTGTCGGCGTCGTAGCCAACGGACGCGTCTGTCATCTCGATCGCCATATCGTTGGCCGAGACATGCGGCGAGATCGTGTTGGTCGCCAGTTCCGGCGCGTTCAGAAATGTAGTGAAGCGGCCGTACGAGACAAACGCCTGCATCCAGTTGGCGATGATCGTAGGCAGCAACATCATGGGCGCCTTGATCATCGAGAAGAGGCTGAGCGCCGTGAAGACCTTGGTGGCGGTCAGTGTCTCGCCGATCCAGATTACATAGGCGGTGAACGAGACAGTCGTCAAGAGGATCGGGCCGGCGCCGTTGATCGTGATGGTCAATGACGCGACCAGCGACTGCGACCACAGCGCTTGGAGCTCAGCGTCGCGCTGCTGCGTGAGCTTGGAGCTGTAGCGCTCTTCCCACGCATGGAATTTGATGTTTTGCATGGCGCCAAAGACCTCGTTAACCGTCTTCATGCGCGCATCCTTGCAGTCCATGAGTCGCTTGAAGCTAATGTGGAGACGCGTGGCCACGAGCCGGTTGATGTACAAGGTCGCCGCCATGACAAACATGCCAACGACCATCGCCGACCCGAGGAGCTGCCACAACATGTACAAGAGCGCTGAAATCTGGAGCGGGATGATCCAGATCTGGTTGGCGCGGTACGAGACGGCGAGGATCCACATCATGTCGGTCGAAAAATGGTTGGCGATTTCGCCCGGGTTTTTGCGACGGCGGGCGTCGAGTGCCATTGTTTTGTTGTACAAAAGGTCTTGAAGCGCCGACGTGAGGTTGAGATAGAGCAAATCGTTTTGAAGCGACGTTTGTGTCTGCAGCACGGCTTGTCCGACCTTGACGAGAAAGAGAAGCAGGATCGGGTGCAGCAATGTGGCAAAGTCCACCGACGACGTCTCGACGGCCGAGACGACTTGCTGGAGCACAACAGGCCCGTAGAGCGTGCACGCCATCGCAACAAGCTGCAAAAAGCCAATGCACACGGCTCTCGGGCCAAAAACCACGAGGATCGCGCGAAGGAGCGACTTGTTCCCCTTGTCGTACGTCGGAAGAAACGTGGTGCGGATCGCGGCACACTTGAAGCGGTCCGGGAGCGGCCAGATGTCGGCCGCGTGGAGCTGGCGCTCGTTGGCGAGGCGCACGACCGGGTTGGCCCACGCGTAGGTGCATCGAGAGAGCAGGTTTGCGCGGTCAAGCGGGTGTCCCGCGGCGTGAGATTTGTCCAGCGGCAGGGCTGCGTACGTAGTCTGTCGCGTCATGCAAACTGGAGACTGAAGCTGAGGTTGCCGACTTCATAACCTTCTCGTGTGGACTGCACGACGTGTGGACCGTCGTTTTGCGTGTCTCGTTTGCCTTGCATCCCACACTTTTAGTGCGCGATGACTACTTGCCGGATGGGAATGTGTGTCGTTGATGACTGCTGAGTGGCAAGAGTGTGTGTAAACCAGACCTTGCAAGGGTGGTCGATGACTACTGACAGGATGGACGCCATTCATTGGGAGAAATTCGGTCGAAAGCACCCTGTCTAATCTTTGCATTGTTCGACTTCGTTCTTTTTCGCGGCCAGGGTGCTGGAGCTTCAGACTACCCTTTTCCGGCAACAAGGGTAGTGTGGACATGGTGCAAGCCGACATGACGTGGTCGCGGAGCCATCCAACGCGGCTTGGTTGCCCATGGCCAAGCACTTGGTGACTGGTCATTTGCGCGTGTTACATCTGATAAGGGCAAACGCGCAGATAGCACAAATGCCGCAAGATTTTGAATCGCATTTGATTTTACGAACGTTTCGGTGATTAAATGATCATAATAGCGCAATGGCACGAAGAGCTCTGGGTTACGCACGGTCGCCTAGGGTTGGGTTAGGTTTAGGTCTATCTCCGCCCTCGGCGGACCCTTCCCGGGCGAGCCGCATGCGTGAGAGGGCGATATCGCTACACGAGCGGGCGCACCGAAAAAGAAAGGAGGACGAGCCCCTGACTTTTGGTCACAATGTGCTCTGGATCCTCAAAGATTGCTACAACTGCACGCACTCAAACGAAACAATCACATAACGTTTGTGTGTCGTTCGTTTGTATTGATGGCCCAGTTCGAGCAAGAGAAACATATGTGCGTCTATAAGCGCACGCGTAAACGTGATGCCAAGCCCCGTCAAGGTCGTCGTCTCGTCGTCGGCTAGCGCAAGGGTGAACATCATCGTTTGTGCTGCAAACGGCGCCGTCCAAACGACCACGTTGGCTTCTGTCGTGGGCACTAGCGGCGCTGTCACCGTGCCGTAGCGCAGCAATAGCGCACTCGACGCAAGCGGCGCCGCAAGGTCCTCTTGATAAATCTCGAGTCGGCCAAAAAACGCCGCAGACGAGCGCGCCTCGTAGGTCCCCAGCAGCGCCTGCTTCATCTCAATGGCCAATGACGTGGCGTCGACACGTATACATGACAATGTCGTCCATAGAAGCACTCATTTTGTACCTCCAGCGCCCCACGGCGCGCGAGCAAAGTAGTGCGCGTCGCCTGGCGTATCTGGAAAGGCAGCTGCGGCCTCGATCGCGTCGGCGTCGTGCTTGGCCAGGTCGTCGTCGGCGACACCGAAGCACCACCCGAGAAGTCGCAGATGCAAGCGCGAAAGGAAAGAGCTGTCAGCCGCCGACCCGCCCATGGTCCGAGCGTTCGATGCCACGAATACTCCGGCGCGGGCCGAGCGCACGAGGCCGAGCTCTGCCGTAAATCCAATCGTGAGCCCGTTCTTGCCGACATAGTCCTTGCCAAACGCCAATGAGTCGCCAATCGTTGTAAAGCCGTAGCCTGCTTGCACGGTCGACGGCGCAAAGCCCAAGACGCGCGTCCTTGTCGGAGTCATGCGCGTGTTCTCCACACACCCCGTCATGATGGCCGTCAGAATTGCAGGCGATGCAAAGAGCGCCGCGCCGTCCGAGAGCAGAAAGCCCGTCAGCTTAGCCATATCAGCGGCCGTTGAGAGGATCGAACCGGCGGCCACGCAGTTGTCACCGGGGCGCAGCACCGTCATGGGCGAGGTTGCAATGTCGAATGGACCGAGCACGTGGTCATGACACGTCATGTGCCCGCGCGCCACGTCTGTCGTGGCGTCGCCGATGCGTCCGACGGTGTCACGCATGCCGAGCGGTGTCCACACCGCGTCACGCAGGAACGTAAACCACGGCACGTGTGCAACCGCTTGGAGCACTTGGCCGAGGACTTCGTAGTTGGCGTTCGAGTAGACAAATCCAGCTTGGTCACTGGTCGTGTCGAGGTGCGCAAGACCCTCGACGATCGCGCGCTCGGTCGAAAAGACGCCAAAGGTCCAAGCAATGTCGCCTTGAGAGGCGAGCACCGAGTGCATCGACAGCAAGTCAGCGAGCGTCGTCCGCGCCGCAACATCCTTGTCGAGTAGCGTGAACCACGGCAGGTGCAACTGGACGCGGTCGTTCCAGTGCGCAAGACCACGGTCGACCTACCGCCGTGTTAAAATGGGAAGAGTGGCCGACAGATGGTATACAAGCACGCCGATGCCCAAAGCTATCAAGACCTTGGACACTGACCCAATCTCAAAGAGCGTCGAAGACGTAATTGGCATATTCGGCTCCTCGTACTAGAAAGAACCGTTGGCGGACTGGTTTGTAATGTAAAGATGTATAATACCTCTTGCGAGCCAAACCCCTTGGCGAGAACGACGTCGCCGTCACGAACTAGGGCGACAGCAAGACCAGGAAGATGGTGCGCGGTCATTGCACGCTGCACGTAGGCGCAGATTGCGTCGAGCTCGGGATCAAAGGTCATCAGGTTGGCAACTATCTCTCTATTAAACACGAAACCAGGCATGCATGTACGTGGAGAGAGCAACGTCAGACGCAGCAATTGATGCAATGAGCTTCCTCCGACGAGGTACCAAGCGCGCCACGAGGAGCGTTCGGCGGACGTTCCGAGCGGTCATCGAACACGGCGGAACGATCGCTTCATGGCAGGCACTGTCACTGCGGGTCGTGCTGCGAAGCAAAGGAGGGAAGGGTGTCTTCGCGTACGGCTATGGCGATAAACATAACGAATGAGTTTTCCGAATTCGTATACCCAACTACAGTCAAACGCTCTACTAACTAAACTTTGCTCGGATGCTTTTGGCACAGGACGCCTGATGCCCTGCCGTCCCGTAGCGATTATACTAAACACTGTATACCGGCCCCGACAAAAAAGGGGGGGACAGAGCTCGTTCGAACGCAACTATATTGCCACATGGCCGCCATGGGCAAGGATGGACGTGGCCGGATCCTGTATGAAGCCTGCAATGGGGAGGGCGTTAATTGCTGTAGAGTTATCCCGAATCGGCAACGTATTTCTCAAGTACCGTATATAATGTTGTCCCCCGCTTCGAACCCGGGGGTACGTCTTTATCCATTTTCGGGCGGCAACTGTACAAAACACCAATTGCTCACAGAATCCCTCACAATATACAAACGCACGAGTACTACTACTGGGACAGCCGAGTCGACAGCCGGTTCCAGCTGACCCAGGTTCAAGCGTCTACCATGTGGTATGCAAAGCCATCTGAGCACCACGACATGGGCATCGTGACCCCTCGTGCCACGGCGTCGACGCTGCTGGACTCGAAGCGATGGATGTACGGTATGGTTGTGGAGGTTTGATGTCGAAAACAGTAGAAAAGGCGTATTTGAAATAAAGTTTAAAGGTACCCTAGTGAGATATAGCCATGACGTGACGATGGATGGGTGCGGAGGTCGAAACATCGAGCACAGCGCATTGAATGACGTCGTGGCGACGGACCAAGCGCGGCGAGTAAAAACGCGGGAGGGTAGCGGCTTTAACCACGGTCACCTTGGTTGGCGTCCTTCTTCTGCAGCCGCCATCTATCAGCCTTCTTGTTCACACGGTGGTACTATCGCCTCATAGCACTTTGTCAAGCACTTCAGAAAATACTGCTGCAGTGTAGCAAGGATCAATAAACAGTTTAATGACCCTTGTTTAATGACCCTTGTTTATTGACCCTTGAGTGCAGCTACCTCCTACCGCCTGATATGGCAGCCAACTTGAACTTTCCGAATTATTTCGCAACCTGGCGTTCGCAAGAGGTTCTTTCAGCGATAAAGTCGAACGATGATGCTGCCACGAGTAGCTACTAACCTGCGCTCTCCTTGCGTCGTACAGCGTGGTGTACACCATTCGTCCGGACGTTGTTCGAGCGTTTTCTTCTCAAGACGACCGCCATCGCTCCGCTCCCCACAAGGCACTTTAGCGGAGAGGTGGGTCGGTCAATACGTAGGATGTGTAATAACGGAAGATTTCGCTCGACTGTGCTGCCAAGATCGGAAGCTGCTTCCGGCGCGCAAGTGCTAGCTCGCCAAGCAACGCGGATATGGGCGCTTTCAAGTTGAAGTTGGCGCTTTGCGGACACGACACCATATTCAGAAGCAGGTCGGATGCCGCCCGCAATAGAGTAGCTCTCATTTGTGTTACGAGCCCTGCCAACGGAGCCGTCGGATGCGTTGAGAGCTTGCCTCACGTAGTACTTTGTCGATGGATCGAGTTGGGCACCTTCAACAATTTTGCCTCTACACAAGGTATCTTTCGAGCGAACGCATCATCGATTGGTACCGGTTACCTGGCACTGCGATTGACGTGGCATCATCTTGAGCACAACCTTGCGACCTTGGATGACCCGTGACCCTTGTTACCCAAATGTGCAAACTGGTGGCGCCAACTTCAACATGGCTGAATGCCCAAGCACGACCCACATTCTCGACCGCCGAACGAGCCAATCACACGCGGCCGCCCCTGCGTCGTCGGCGCCTTCGGATTGAAATTCTTAGTCCGACGACATCTGCACCAAAGATTGAAACAGCAAGCGGAGTTTGATCCACCGCTAGAAACTTTGCAGTTAAAAGGGCGCGCGCGTCCCTGGCACCGACGTCTCATCCTCCGCAGACCAGCCACGAGCGAGCATTCCGGATACGCCTGAGAGGCCACCATCTGGTGTGCTTGCGCAACACAGTATCTTGCAAGGCCGAGAAGCAGGCAACAGCCATCCAGCGATCTATGGGATGGACACGGACTCTCTCGGAGGAGCAATCTGCGTATGCATCGTCCGACCATGGCGTCCCAAGCGGGTCTCGTGGTCGTTTCGACCACGTTTATACTCGAAAGGCGGGTTGAAGCAGCTTTCTTTTGCAGCGCACTCCAGCTGCTTGCAACCTCAAGCGCGGCTCTTGTCTTTGTCGAGGCGCCAGCGCGACGACGCAAGAGCCGCTTTCGATCACGACGCTCTGCGATTACTCACAAGCTACTCATGTCCGATACTTCTCTGATCTCGAAAGTCCCACTAGCCCAACCATTAGCCCAAGCTACCAACACTACCAATGAACCACATCCCACCAGGAGTAGCTGCGTTTGGGTGGTTGCTGTGATGGGCAACCTCACTAAATTTGCATCGCGTTCGGCTTGCCGGTGTCAAATCAACGACTTGGAGGATCGGTGATGTGACCTCCAGTATTGCTGCGTGCTATTGCAGAACGTCAGAGTGGGAGGCGCCGGATCATGCACCCAATCGACACAGATGCAGAAGCTTCTGGACAGATGGCAATGGCGCTGCAGCGAGCATGCCGGCAACGTTGAAGTTACGGTCGAGCACATGGTGCGCGTCGTCTGACTCGACGTACTCGTAATTTCTTGTCCACCGCAACGACCGCAACGGGAAAGCTCATTTTGCTTTTGGCTCGCTTCTGCACATCAAGTACAATGAGCTCGGCGATCATCGCGTGCTTCCAGCGTCACTGGACGGTCGAGCCGCCGCCGAAGACGCCGGAAGAAATCGAGGCGGAGAAGTACCTCATCTGCATCCCGCTCTGCGGCAACCGGTTCCTGACGCTCAAGTCGATCGCGTTCAACCGCTGGTATCTCTTTGCGGCGTCGTTCCTCTGTCAGTTCTGCTGCGGCTCGCTCTACTCGTGGTCCATCTACAATGTCCCGATCGATACGTACATCTACAACGACGCCAAAGCCGGGAAGGCGGTCTACACCTTCTACATGGCGTGCGGTCTTCTCGGCAGCACGGCCGCTGTCCTTGGCCCGTGGCTCGAGCGCAACGGGCCGCGCCGCGGCCTCTTCCTCGGTGTCTCGATGTTTTGCACCGGCTACGTCATCGCTGCCATCTCGCTCTGGTCCAAGTCGATCGTTGGTGTCTACATTGGGTACGGCATCATCACGGGCTTTGGCCTTGGCATCAACTACATCTCGCCCGTCTCGGCGCTGCAGAAGTGGTTTCCGGACATGCGCGGAACGGCGGCTGGCTTTGCGGTCGGTGGCTTTGGCGCCGGCTCGATCGTCTGGGGCAAGGTGTACCTTCCGGCGGCCAAGGCGTTTGGTCTGCCCGGCTCGTTCATCTTCCTCGGTGTCCTCATGTCGACAGTCATGTTTTGCTGCGCGGTCGTCATGCGCACGCCGCCGCCGGGTTTCACTGCGGGTGGTATGGACATCCACGGCGTTCAAGAGTCGAGCAAGCTCCACGAAGACTCGAAGCTAGCCGAGTCGCCCAAGCACGACGAGGTGCACGTGCAGTACACTGAGCTGTCGGAGGCCCACGGGCGCGAAGTGCACGCGCCGGCGACGTTCCACGACCTCCACCAGGACAACTACAAGAACGTCAAGAGCCTCAAGCTCATCGACTGCCTCCTCTCGGCCGACTTTTTCTTCATGTACTTTATGCTCGCGGGCAACATCGTGTTTGGCCTCGTCGCGCTCTCGCGCCTCTCGTCGATGACGACCGAGATCTTCAAGCAAACGCCCGACGAAGCCGCGACCGTCGTTGCGATCAACGGCGCCTTCAACTGCTGCGGCCGCCTCTGCGTGCCCATGGTCTCGGACGTCCTTGCCCGCACGTTCAAGCTCAACCCGCCGTTCGCACGCAAAATCATCTTCTTTTGCACGCTCACGATCCAGATGGTCATCTTGCTCACGATGCCTGGCATCATGCGCGACTTGGACTATGGCAGCTTCCGCGCCGAGATCTGGGTGCTGACGTTGTGCTACGGCGGCGGCTTTGGCACGATTCCGGCCTTCCTCACCGACATGTTTGGCGCCTACAACATTGGCGCGCTCCACGGCTTTATCCTCACGGCGTGGTCGATTGCCGGCGTCGGTGGTGGTCTCGGGTTCACGTTCTACTACAACGACCTCGTCAAGGTCCAAGGCGTCTCGATCCCCGAAGCGTACATCCAGAACATCCACTGGATCGTCGCCACCGTCATTGTCGGCTACGTCGCGCTCTTTGGCGTGCGCACCAACCCGATCGACCGCTTCGCGCCTGGCTACCAGTACAGCCTCTGCGGCAAGCCCATCATCCGCCTCGGCGCGACGCCCAAGAACCACTGCCACGTGTAAGCAGCGCCCCGTCCTTCTCTCTGTATTGTACCTCTTTTAACCTGAATATCATCTCCATCGTGCGTGACCCCAAAATGACTGCTTCGCCAACATGCACGGACTCGTGAGGGCCAGCTGTGTGGCCACGGCGAGCGCTCGGATTGCCGCATCATCGTCGCACGCTGCAGAGAAACTGGTCGTCGTCAAGCAGCAGATGGTCATGACCATAGTGGGACGTGCCAGATTGCACTTGGGTTCTGCCGCCCAGATGCGATGCCACGTGGCCGGCAGCTGTGGCCGGCGATCCTGGCGATGGCCAGGACGAGGCCACGATACATATACACACGAGCGACGCCTGTCTTCTGGCTCGTTGAGCAGCTAGAGCAGCTCGCTACGGGCCATTTGCCGCGTCGGCGCCTGTCCGCATCCTTGGGCGAACTGCAGGATCGACCAGATGGAAATATGTAGCGTGCCGACCAGCCTCGACCCGTTCGCAGGCCTGCGCTTGCTATTACCCTGTCTGCTGGAACGATGGCGCGCCCGTCCTTGGCCGCGTAGTCCTGTCGTCGTCGCCTCACTAGCCTCGCTGGTCTCGCTGGCGCCCCGTTACCCGGGACTGTCTCGAGTCGTATATCTTTTCCAGTATACAAACGCCAAGAGCCAATTGCGTCGCCGCATTTCTTAACGCCTCGCCTAAAAATACGCCGGGTATTCTTTAAGCTTGCCGACGGCCGCGAAGAAGAGAAGTGCATCGTGGATGGAGATGAAGCGCAAGCACACTACGGCCAACGAGGGCCCGCTTCCTGTCGAGGCCTGTGCATGCGGTGTCAAGGGCAAGACGCGCAAGCGCGATGCGGAGAACACGCATGCTAACGCCGGCGACGGCAACGACAGCGAGAACGACGACGACGATGCAAACGAGAACGATGCAGAGCGTGGCGACGATGGCGCGGCCGCGCCGCTGGTCGTGGCCCAGCAGCCGCTAACCAAGCCACGGCCACGCATGCGGAATCCGGGCAATCTGCTTTTGGATCTCTCGACCATGGAGCCGCACCCGTCGCCGACGCACAGCGGCAAGAAGATCGACTACGCCAACGTGTGCTCGCGCGTCACAGACTTCCTCTACGTGGGCGGCGCGGTCGTGGCCGCCAAGCACGAGACGCTGCTCGGCCATGGCATCACGCACATCATCAACTGCGCCGGCACGGTCACGCCCGACTATTTCCCGCACCTCTTTTCGTACTACCACTTGCGCCTGCGCGACCACGCAACCCAGGACATTCACCGGCATTTCTACAATGTGTTTCACTTTATCGACGCGGCGCGCGAAGCCAACGGCAAGGTCCCCGCTTCGCACCTCGGTGTGTCGCCGACTTACGGAGGATTTGTAGGTCTTTGTGCACTGCGTCAAGGGCATTTCGCGGTCGCCGACCATGGCGATCGCGTACCTCATGGCGCGCGAACAGCTCGGCTTGTACCCGGCCCTCGAGCGCGTCCGGGCATCGCGCCCCGTCATCGATCCGAACGCCGGCTTTATCTTTCAGCTCAACGAGTGGGATTCGCTGCGACAGCAGGCGCGGAAGCAGGTCACAATCTTCCGCATCGAAGCTTCGTTCTCGGACGACGACGACGGGGCCGACGACGAGTCGCACCCGCTCATTATCGGTCCCATGACGCCGCAGCAACTCGTGTCGATCTCGCCTGAAGTCGCCACCGTCCTCGTACGTCCAACCACAAAATTTAGCATGAACTTAGCTCATGATGACGTGGCAGGACGAGCACCACGAATCGTGCTTTGTAGTGCTTTCCATGGACACCAACTACTGCTCGCTCTGGTGCGGCCGCGACGTCTCCGACTCGCTCGTCGCCTCGGGCCGCGCCGCCATGGTACGTCGTCTCTGTCACTACCTTTGTCATTTGCGGCCTTGGGTTGTGTAGCGCCTCCTGCAGACGTACGAAGCGTTCCCTCTGACCTTTGAGGTGGTCCAGAGCGGCCGCGAATCCGCTACGTTTTGGAGCGTCGTGGCGCCCGAGGCCGACGTCGGCGTCCGCGACGACGACGGAGCTGCAACACGCGGCGACGATCGACCATCGTCCTGTTTGAGTCCGTCCTAGTAGACGCGACGTTGTAAAAATATTACGCCCTAGTACATACTGTGCATCTACGGCTCGTGGCGGCGCTCGAGGAGAAGCGACCGGAGGTGCCCGACCTCGGTGCGTAGCGACTGCACTTCGTGCACGAGGAGCGACAGCACGGAGTGCTGCTGGAGATCGGCGAGACCCGCGTCGGACGCGACGGGCGCCACCGACTGCGCCTTGGTCGACATGACAAAGCCCACAACGCATAGACACAGCACGCAGACAACGCCGAGATGCTCCATCGGATGCGTGTATGCAGCGTGTAGAAGGGTGACGATGGAGGCAGGCGACACGGCGCTCGGCTCGTCCGTGGACTCGACGATGTGGGGCGCTGGGTACGACGACCGCGTCGTTGCCGTGTCGTCGTCGTTTTCGGGTACCCACGCTGCGTTACTGCTGCCCCGGCGGCTCGGCAGACGGCGCATGGCTTGCGATGGTACGTGCCCCTGCAAGATCGGCGGTCCCATATGCACTGGCTCGAGATATCCACGGCGAAACGGATACTGATATCCATATGTGAATTTGCCAATGACGTGACAGCACGAGAAGCGCCAAATGTGCCACATCGTGGCGTCTGGCCATATTTTATGGAGGCGAAAGAGCGCAGACAAGGGCACGTACATTCCTACTACTCTACTTAACGACTACTCTGGCATCGAATCGCAGGTACAGTACCTTTATCGTAATTGTGTTATAGAGCCATCAAAACTAGGCGACGACCGCCGAGGCCTCGGGTGTGTTTTCGTGACGAGCCTGCCGGCCAATCCGGATCACGGGTTTGCCGCAGACACTGTATTGATACTTGCAGTCGGCGGCGAACCGGTCTTCGCCGCGCGAGCGCACACAAAACGTAGCGAGAAACCCAGCCAGCGTAATCAGTACGATCCAGTGGATGTTGCGCAGGTACGCGTCTTGGACCGACACGGGCGGGCTTGCGTGCGTGAGCGTGTTGTAGTAGAACGTGAACCCGAGGCCACCGACGACCCCCGCAAGCGACCACGCGGTCAGGATGACGCCGTGGACCGCGCCAATGTTGTAGGCGCCAAACATGTCGGTGAGGAAGGCAGGAATCGTGCCAAAGCCGCCGCCGAGACACAGCGTGAGCAGCCAGATCTGGGCGCGAAAAGCGTCGTAATTTTTCGTCCGAATGACGAGCTCCATCGAGTAGATGAGCACGAGCTGCAAGCCGAGCGTCATGAGAAAGACCAGTTTGCGCGCGAACGGCGGGTTGAGCTTGAAGCCGCGCACGAGCACGTCCGAGACAAGCGGCCAGAAGAGCCGGCCGACGCAGTTGAAGACGCCGTTGATCGCGACCACGTTCGTGCCTTCATTGGCGGTTTGGCCAAAGAGACCGGTTGCCATCGTCGAGAGTCGCCCGAGGAGCACGAGGCCAAAGACAATGTTACCAAAGAGCATGACGTACATGAAGCCATAGTCGATGTTGAGCAGACAGTCGCGAAGCTGCATGGCCTTGACGTGCGCATACTGCGTTTGCACCTGGACATCCCTGGCCGCGGCGTCTTCAGACTTGGCATACGGCGCGATACCGTCGTCTTGGCGGAGACCGTGGACGTTGATGCCGGCGACTTCGAATCCCGGTGGCGGTGTCCGCATCACGATTGTGCAGCCGTACATGATCGCCGCCATGATCGCACCCAGCACGACAAAGTTGCCGGGAAGACCAAAGAGCTTGGCCGCCGGGAGGTACACCTTGCCCCAGACCGTCGAGCCGGCGCCAAACCCAGCAACCGCAAACCCGGCCGCCGTCCCGCGCATGTCCGGAAACCATTTCTGAAGCGCCGAGACGGGCGAGATGTAGTTGATGCCAATACCAAAGCCACCGATGAGGCCGTAGCCAACGTAGACACCAACGATCGACTTGTAGTAGAGCGCGACGGCCGTCGTGAGGTGGCCAAGAAAGAACATGGTCGCACCGAGAAACATTCCCCGGCGCGGCCCATGGCGCTCGAGCCACGGCCCTAAGACCGCGGCCGTGCTCCCGAGCGTCCCGATCGCAATGTAAAACGTGTAGGGCGACCGGCCGTCGGCGCCATTGCCAAAAAGGTACGTGTCCATGGGCGTGTTGTAGATGGACCACGCGTACACCGAGCCGCAGCAAAACTGACAGAGGAACGACGCCGCAAAGAGATACCAGCGGTTGAAGCGAATCGCGCGCCACACAAAGTACTGGTCGTTGAACCAGGGAAGGCAGAAGAGGTACTGCTCGGCCTCGAGCTGCGCGGGCGACTTGATCGGCTGCGTCACGGTCCAGTGGCGCGTCAGGCAGTCGGCCATGGTAAAACGGGTTGTCGGCAGCAGAGACGGTTGAAAAGTGAAGCTCAGGCATCGGATGGGCAGCTGATGCCGGGTCGTGCAACCAGACGGCATCCCACTGTGAAGGACGTTGCACATGGGCAACCTGCCCGACGCCAGTCCTTGGCTCGTCACGCCCGTTCTTCTATGCGAGCGACTGTGGCTTTGAATGGGGACAGCCACCACCTTGGCCGTAGCCAACGTTTTTATCGTGTATCGAGATTGCAAAAGTTGATAAAAGACTTGACATCGCACGCTGCAACGACGAGTTGTCGGCAGTGCACTCTTTTAGGAACGGGCCGCATCCTTCCGCACGGATGAATGATTGCTTATCATTGTGGCCTGCTGTTGCGTACGGGCAGGCCGTCGCCCGTGGCTGCCTCTCAGGACGATTCATTTCACGCCGCCTGATCCGCTCCTTCGTCTGCGATCGCGACAGGCCGTCTAAAGTCGGCTTCCAGCGTGCGCAGAGCAGATTCGTACATCGACCACGACAGACTCATCGCTGTTGTGATAGTGACTGAATGTTACAACCCACCGACCACAATCTCTGTGTTTCGTTATGACGTGGACGCCCCCGTAGCAACAGCTTCCTCACGCTAACGACGGGTGTGCAGACCATAGCTCTCGGATGTAGGCAGCGACACGTCGTACCCATTGCCTGGTCGACACTGTAATGCCGACATATGAACGTGTCGCTCAACGCGACGCGGTGATCCTCGCTCGTTGACCTCGGCTCAACGAATGGCTGCGGATACCCCTGTCCGAGTTCTCTCTGAAATCCACAGTACCAAGGCCATACATTACGTAAAGTTTATGGCCTTGACAGTCCGTAGAATTAACGTTATTCGATCTGTATTCGCGGCGGATTGATAAGTCGTCCTGTTGGTACCAATGAAGACAGGGGAGTACGAGAGGTGACGCCAACGTCAGCACCTCGAACGTCTTTAGAACCGGGGCTCGAAACGGATCCTCTTGTAGCCCATGGCCATATCGTGGCACTCTGCAACGCGAGAAGACAAAGCCTTTCGGTGTCGATGGCTGCTGTCGGTCAAAGGGCAAAGAGGATGGCGGACTGTCTTGGTCGACATTGTAAAAATAGCAACGGTGCCTTTCTACGCTAACTTTAGCCTCGTGATGTGCAAAGTCGATGTAAAGATAGCTCCCGCCACTTTGCATTTCCGCATTTGCGATCGGCTTCTATGGTCGCGCTCCTTCGGTGGCTCGTTCTCTGGCCGCTCGCTACGGTCGCGCATCAGACCCACTTTGCGTCGCTCGACGACGGTATTTTTTCCAAAGTCCCCGTGCAATCTTAACGGCGTCTCTGTGTAGTGCTCGGTGACAGCTCAACCCGCGACCTCGATGAGGTCAAAGTGCTCAGCATCTCGCCACCATTGTCCTCTCGATTCGCCAGCGCCCCCGAGCAGCTGAACGTCACGTTTCGAACCCACGGCGTCGACGTCGTCGCTCTCGTGCAGCGACACCGCGCCCTCTTCGACCCAGAAGCGCTCATCTACGCCCACACGGGTCCCGAGTACGCGACGCTGCCCATGGGATCGCCCCACGACATTGCGTACGCGGGGTCCGTCCTCAACGGCGGCTACGCCCGCCTCACGCTGCAAGACGGTCATCGGTTCCACGCCACGCTCAAAATGGATGACCGTCTTTTGGTTGTCGACCTCGTTGAGCAGCACGCAGGTGCGCGAGCATCAAATTCGGGCATGGTCGCGTACTATGTACCACTTGCCGACGTCCACGTCGAGGGCCAAGACCACCGCCGGCTCGCGTGGGGCCGCATGCAAAACTGTGGCTGGGCCGCGCAGCAGCTCCTCGTGGGTGTCGCGTCCGACGCTGGCTTTACGGCACAGCACGGTATGCGCACTCTTGTGCCCTTGAGCTTCGTCTCATGTAACGTTTGCGGAACAGGCGGTGCTGCGGCGACGCAGTCGTACCTCATTGCAGTCTACAACTCGGTCAACGGACTCTACGACGAGCAGATTGGCGTGCACTTGGCGATCGGAACCTTCCTCATCGAGACCCAAGTCGGTGGACCAGAGTGGAACGTGGCGCCGGGCGGCTGCGGCGCCAACGCGGTCATGAGCACGCACCTCGACACGATGAAAACGTACGTCGTTTGGATATTATCCGCGGCGAAGAGCTCAACGTTTTCTGCGTGTAGCTGGGTCGCAACGGGCGCGCCGCCGCTCTGTGGGTCCCAACCCTGCGGGTTGTGGCATCTCCACACCAACTGCAACGCCGACCCGCGTATGTTTGTTATGTGGAGGCGACGCAACAGGCTTATACATAAGTGGTGTAGAGTACACGGGGACGGTCGCGGGCATCGCTTGGATCGGGACGCTCTGCACCGGCAGCGTCGGCTACAACACGGGCGTCTCCATCGACGGGGCGGCCGGGACGTGGATCCTCGTTGGCCACGAGGTTGGCCACAACTTTAACGCGCAGCATACGTTTGCCGAGGGCGGTATCATGAGCTACGACTGGTCGACGCCGATGCGATTCATCGACAATAATCAAGTGTGCAGCTACGTGGCGTCCGTGCAAGCCAAGTGTCTCTCGCCCTTTCCGTCGACACCGGTGACAACACCGACACCTACAACAGCGACGCCGACACCGACCCTCACAACCGTGACACCGAATCCCACAACAGTGACGCCGAGCCCCACGGCTGCGACGACAACGGTGACGCCGACACCGACACCGGTGACGACGGTGCCATCGCCAACGACGGATAGCACGCCGACGCCGAGCGTCGTGCCGCAAGATCCGTGCGCTTGCGCAACCACCAACCTCTGTACGCAGCTCAACCGACCGGGCTGTCAAAAGCACAAGGATCAGTTCTACTACTGCTACGTCGTCGGCTATGCAGCGTGTGCGTCGGCGCTCCCGTCGGACGCGTGCACCAATGCGCAAGGCAAACCTCTGTACTATATTACCTCCAAGGCCAGCTGCCCGGCCGTGAACGCTTCGACACCGCAACCGTCGAGCAGCACGTCAGAACCGTCAAAGACAGCGACACCGATCCCTACCATCGAGACGCCAGTTCCCACCACCGAGACGCCGGCTCCCACGACGCCACCGGCAACAACCAATGGCGCGTCGTATGTGCCGACGACCATCGTGGCGACGACAACGGGGCCGACGCCAACCAACACGACACCGACGCCAACGAGCCGCGACGATGCATGCGCCTGCTCGACGACCAGTCGTTGTCCGACAATTCCGAATGGCGGGTGCAAGAACTTTAACGGCCAAGGCTGGTGCTACGTCAAGGACCCATCTCGGTATATCCACCACCGCACTTCGTTTCTCATTCTCAACTCCTCTATGTAGGTGCCTTGGGGCCCAGGTACTGAGCTCGATGGACTGCCCGGGCGAGCTCTACAAGCCGTGTTCGCTCTCGAACGCAACGACGCCATCGCCTACCACACCCCGGCCACGACCTAGCAACCCCTGCGGGTGTTCGGCAACGCCCAAGTGTCCCAGCATCAACACCTCGGGCGGCTGCTTCCGAAACGCATCGTCCGGCGCGTCCTTTTGCTTTGTCAACGATCCCGCCGCGTACGTTCGTTGGCGATGGCTTCATCTTAGTCATCTCTTATTCTCTAGATGTCGTGCGCCAGGGACCATTACGCTGTCGACAAAAGCATGTCCAGGCCAAAAGCTGCGGCTCTGCACGTCGGCGTCGGCCCGCACCGAGTGGGTTTCGTCCGAGTGGTCGCAATGCTCGACGACCTGCGGCGGTGGCGAGAAGCGGCGCGTCGTCCGCTGCATGGACCGGCGACACACCACGACGCTCTCATACAGCGAATGTGCCGGCGTCATCAAGCCCGTAACGCACATCGGCTGCAACACCCACGCATGTGGAGGCGCGAATGCAACCACCACGGCCTGTGCCGGCCCCCCGAACTCGACCTGTGTGCTACGAAAGAACAAGCGCTTTTGCGACTGTGCGTGCGTCGCAGGATTTCTCTACGATCGCAGTCGGCGTGACTGCGTCGCCGCGCCCACCGAGAGCCGCAACGTGAGCGTATGGAGTGTCAGTAGCTTCGAGGTGCGCTCCCACGACATTGCGCCGCTGCCACCGACCAGCTGCAACGGGCAAGAGGCGGCGAACTCGACTGTCACCGCAGCGTGGCGGGCCATGGTCAACGAAGACAACACGAACTCGGGGGCGGCATCGGATCCGTCGCCGGCGGCCGTCGTCATGATTGCGCTCGTCGTCGCGGCGCTCGCGGTCGTTGTGGCGGTCGTCGTGCACCGACGCCACCGGACGTCGGACCGCAGCGGCGACGGCATGGTCCAGACGCCCGTGTACATCGTCGACGCGACGCCCGTCTCGATCATGTAGCTCACCACTTCAACTTGAATGCTCCGTAATCGGGACCCGAGACACATCCTGCTGCACGGTGATAGGCCAAAGAATAAAAATAGGCTTCGTGGACAGTGTATTTGTATGCATAATAAAACATGGATATTGAACTACAGATTGGCTAAAAACACGCCATTCACCTTGTGACTTACAGCCGGCGCCGTTGCTGCCCATCGGCGTCAAAAGTGTGCTGCCTGCACCACCTTGCCATAACGACTATACTAATATCTGGAGAGTTGAGCCAGCCATAGAGAGGGCTAGGAATCCAAAGGGGATATAGGTACAACGGTAAGGACGCAATACTGGTTCGATTGGCCACGAGATATGCGTCGCAGTGCACAGCGGAGGGCTGACGTCGTGGCGCAAGAAACTGGCGCAAGCTGCAGCAATACTGGATGGGTGCGTTCTCCTAGACCCATCAAAAGATCATACACGCGACATGTAATACCAGCAGTTGCGTGCGCGGCTGCACGAGCCGACTCTTCAAGCACTTGCCTCGTGAAGCGACCCTCTCGTAGTTGTTCTCTCTCTCGAGCCTCTCGTACTAGTCGTCGACAGCGCTCCACAGACGCTCTGATAGCATGGTATATACCACACGACCCTTTAGTAGTAATCTCGTCCGCATCGTAGATACACTTGGTGCGTTCGAAATCTGAACTTGGTGTGAGTGGCAAAGTTGGGTGGAATTAGCTGCACAGTGCGCCGACCACACTGGATCGTTGCGGCAATCTTCACTTGTGCTTTTGACCTCGAGAAGAGACACGGCTAATGAAGCTGCTTTTGACGACTGCTTGGTTGGCGGTCGCCGCCGCGTCCTTCTACGACGGGTGGAAGCTGCCCGACTACTGCATGGACCCCAAGGGCATGGCGGCCCGCCAAGCCATTCCACCCATCGAGACGAGCCGCAAGTTGGAGCTCGTCCAAGCGCAGGTCGTCGCCCGCCACGGCGCCCGCGCGCCGTACTACGCTGTCTTTTGCTGGGACACTGCGCCGAGCCCCGTGAGCGTCACGTGGAACTGCTCGACCAACCAAGTGTGGGTACGCACAATCCTTTGTCTCTCCAAATGCGCGGCCGCTCACGCTGGACGGTATGCTGCAGACGCAAAACCTGGACGATGGCAGCGAGGCGCGCGGCTACGGGCGGCTGTACCGCAAGCAGTACATCAACCACCGCAACGTCCTCAACGGCACGTGCATGGTCGGCGGCCTCCTGCCCATCGGCCGCGAGCAGCACCGGCAAAACGGCGCGTACGGTTTACTGCTCTATGGCCGCCACATTCATCATCGTCCTACGACATAGCATCCTCCGGGACGCCTACATTGGGCACGGCCCGCGCAAGCTCTTTTCCTCCAACAAGATTAGCGTACGTCTAGCAGACACTGGATCATCCAGTGGATGGACGTGCACTGTGTAGGAACGCGCACGGCACGAACTTCTGCTGCGCAGGTGCGTATTTACTTGCTTGGGATAACGTCGTCTTATTGCTATGTCGTAGTGACGATCAAGAACGGACGCTCGGGTCGGGCCAAGCGCTCGTCGATACACTCTTCCCGTACTCGCCCAAGGACGAGGCGAACATGGATGACATGCTCACGTGGATGACGGCGGACGCCAACTCGGACTACATTGACCACCGACGGGACACGTCGTGCCCGATGCTGGACCGTGTACACAATCATTTCTTAGTGCATATTAGAGATCTTATTAGGAAATGATATAGATGGCCAAGGAGATCAACAACTCGCCGGCCGTCGTCGCGCACCGGAACAGTCCGGCCGTGCTCGCACTCCAAGCGCGCTTTAACGCGATCGTCGGTGTCAAGTTTCAATGGGATACGTGCCTCGAGTGCCTCATGATTGCGCGGTACGCACTTTTGATACCAACTTGATACACACTTGATACAATCTGCAGATGCAACAACTTGCCGCTGCCCGACGGCACGACCGAAGAGCTCTTTCACGCACTCATCAACGAGGTCCAGACGCGCACGCGCATGAAGCTGTCGTACCAGAACGGCGCATACGCCAAGCTCGACATGCAGCACATGTGGCGCGACATCCTCAAGCGCGTCGACGCCGTCATCCTCGACCCGTCGTCCGCGCTCAAGCTCAGCATTACCATGGGTAAGAAGTGTGCATCATCTAACGACGTATCCAGCTCATGGTATGCACACCATAGGCCACGACTCGACGCTGATGCCGATGATGGCGGTCGCCATGGGCCCGACGTGGGACGGCCACTGGACGACGTACGCCGGCATGCTCGTCATCGAAGTCTACCGGGTAATTTGAAAATGACGCGCTTCAAGTGCTTGCATCTCAAGATGGCTCTAGGATGCCGACATGGACCGTCGTCACGGCGACGCGTACGCAGTTCGCCTCATCTACAACGGCAAGCCGCTCCAGCTGCCCTTCTGCAACGACGGTACGCTCGACAAGGCCGAGGCGTTGATGTCGCTCATGCATTGTGTCTACAGAGCTCTGCCCGTGGTCGACCTTTAACGCGTCGCTGTCGTGGGCGCGCGCAACGCGGCAGTGCAAGCTCCCGACCAAAGCATCGACCCGCCTCGACACCAACGTCTCGACGCATCAGCCGTCGGCCGCGTGGTTCCTCTTGCCCGTCGGCGCGCTTCTCGCGGTCGTCGGGACCTTGGCCACGCGCCAGAGCCCGTACCGGCGCGAGACCGACCCGCTCCTCGGCTAACCATCGTCGTACAGTGTTCAAGTTGCTTGAGAAACCCCTTTTTCTTGGTTTGGCTACCACACTTCGGCAATGTACTTGCCGTCGCCTTGGAGGCGCGCGATGAACGCCTTGGCGGCGGCGTCCGTCCAGCCATAAGCGTCGACGAGGCAGGCCACGAGCGCGTGCTTGACGTCTCGGCCCATGGCCAAGGACCCGCAAACGCACACGGTCGCTCCGTCCTCGACAAGGGCCTTGGCAACGAGGCTGGCGTATGCGCGCAATGCATCTTGCACATACTGTTTTGCCTACAGGATCGTGCACATCGCATCGAAGCTAGATATGACCGCGTTACCGTGCCAGGCTCGCGCGAAAAGACGGGGTAGTACCCACGTAGAACGCCGGCGTTTGTCGCGGCTTCAAACTCGGCGTGGTAGAGCCAGTCGGTGTCGCGTCGCTGCGACCCTTGGAAGAGAAGTATCGGTGACCATGCACGCGTCACGTCGTGGCATCGCGCCTGCGTCATCGCCCGGAACGGCGCAATGCCCGTGCCCGTGCCAATACACAGCAGCGGCGAGCTCGAAGGCGGCAGCACGCTAAAGCTCGAGCGCTTGACGTAGCCAAAAATCTGCGACGACACCGACGCCAAGTTGATGGCGCACCGGCCGCGCGACTTGAGGCTCACCGCGACCGCGACCGTCGACGGCTGCACTTCCGCCGATGATGCGACCGTGTACTGTCGTGCGAGTAGCGGCGGGGCCACGGCGAGGAGCGCTTCAAGGGACAGCGCCATCGATGGAAACTGCGAGAGCAGATCGACCACATTTGGGGCGTCGCCGTCGTTGGCCCAAGTCTGAGCAAGCGCCAATACCGCTGCTTGGTCGGCGGCGTCTGTTGCGTATGCTGCCAGCAAGCGCAAATGACGTGGCCGCAGCGGCGACGTCAGGTCAACAGCCCATGTGAGAAGGGCCGCGACTGTCGTCCACGCGCCGAGATAGGTTGGTGGCAGGTTGGCGCAGGACTCCACGCGGAGCACAGTGTCCAAGTCCACGCATAGCCGCGCCGCGCAGGCAGCGACCGCGCTCTCAGCGTTGCGCATGTGCACGACGAGGTTGTCGGCAGTCTTGTACGGCGTGCAAATGTCAACTTCAATGTGGCGAACGCTGGACGCGCCGAGCTCGGTATTGACACGCACGGGCAGCAGCTCCACGTCGGTCGGTCGATGGGCGACGTCAAGTGGGAGGCTCGAAATCTCTGCAATCGTGAGGACGGTGTCGACGGGAGCTGGCGGCGGCAGCGTCATCTGCGCACCCATCTCGCTCCAGCGCACGCTGTCCTCGTACTCCATAAGCTGCTCCTGGTACACGAGCAAGACGCAGTTGGGACAGTTGAGGTTGCAGCAATCGCCGTCTTGGGGCTGCACGGGCGGCTGGAGGCGAAGCGTCTTGGGCGCCTGCGGAATGGTCAGCGTCCAAGACCATCGAGGCTACGAGTACCTGCGGAGGCTGCTCCGCCCGGCGCTTCCTCGCGAGCTCGCGCTCAAACTCCATGAACGCTTCCATGCTGTACATCGCGCTTCGTTCGAGCGTCGGGCGTCGCCATCGCCGTCCCGTGGCGCGGACGAGATGCTGGAGCATGGTAAATTCGGCACACGCCGCCTCTCAAAATCTCAAAATCGGCATTTGCCATGATTGGCTGTCTCACGCTGGTCTACAGTCCACAGCGCAGTAGCTATCTAGCTTATCACCATGGCTAGTCGTTGGCGACTACTCACTAGTACGCACCATCGACTAGGTAGTACAAATAATGCACGGTCGAGTACACAACGGCCATGTTGGGCTCCTAATTCGGCGCTCGCTCCGAGTGTCCGAGTGGACGATGACAATGTTATCCATCACAAGACCGTCCGCCATACGGTGAACGTGGCACATGCCTCGTCGCGACATCGGCGGCTGCCACGAACAAACGGCGCTGCATCCGACGCATGCCACGTCGGTTTCTCGTCCGCGTCGTATTCTTGGCATCGACATGCCGCATGCCGAATCAGCGGTTAAATACGGCATACTTTATTCGACGGAAAGAAGCTCTACCTGAGTATGGACGTCGCATTATAAAACGACGATCTTTCCCGGTGCAATCCCGGTAGGCGTTTCATAACCTCTCGCGGTCGCATATCCAAAATCTACGCGTTGTGTCAGGATATTTTCTTTCAGAGGTAATTTGGGGGCCGGCCCATGAGTGATACATACAACAATCCAGTTTGTTTTATTGTCTGGTGGCGGTCACATAAACAGGAGGGGCCGTCGCATGCGGTTTGAGAGGTGATGATTTGGCACGTTTGGTTGGTGCGCAAAGGAAACCCAAGGAAATGGTCTCCACTCCCCATATTTCCACGTCAAGATGCTCCGCTCGATTGGTCGTCTCGCCGCTACTGCCCGCCCGGTCCAGAAGACCGCGCTCCGTGCGCTGGTCTCGTCCTTCCACGTCGCGGCCTTTGCCGCGCCGGCCAAGACCATGCTCGCGCCGCAGTTCGCCTTCATGGGCATGCCGGCCAAGGTCCACTTCTTCTCGTCGTACGCCGACGCCGACCGCCTTGCGTGCACCATCTTCATTGGTGGCCTGCCCTTCGACACGGAGGAAGAGCACATTAGCGACTTGTTTGCGCGCTTTGGCGAGATCGAGTCGATCCACATGCCCAAGAAGCGCAACGGCACGCCCATGGGCACGTGCTTTGTGCGCTTTGAGAGCGCCGAGGCCGCTGCCAACGCGCTCGAGCTCGACGGCGAGCAGTGCGGTTCGCGCTACATGGCCGTCAAGAAGGCCGAGCAGCCGCGTGAGCGCGCGCCGGCCAGCACCGAAAAGCCGGAAGGCTGCACGAGCATCCGCTTCGCTAACGTGCCGTACAACGTGACGGAAGACAGCATCCGCGAGATGTTTGCCCACTGCGGCGACATTAGCTCGATCTACTTCCCGAAGGACAAGGACACGGGCCGCGTCTTGGGCTACGGCTTTGTCGAGTTTGTGCACACCGACTCGACGGACAAGGCGCTCGAGCTCGACGAATCCGAGTTCAACGGCCGCACGCTCCGCGTCAACTACTCGCACAAGACCAACAACTCGCAGAAGCGCGTCGCCAAGCCGGACGGCTGCAAGTCGGTGTACGTCGGCAACATCTCGGCGGACGTCAACTCGGGCATGCTCAACGACATGTTTGCCCACTGCGGTGAGATCGAGCGCGTGCACATCGCGGTCGACCGTGACACGCAGGAGCTCCGCGGCTTTGCGTACGTCAACTTTGTTGACACGGACTCGGTTGACAGCGCGATCAAGCTCTCGGGTGCCGACTTGGACGGCCAGGCGATCCGCGTTGCCTTTGCCCGCAACCGCGAGGACCGCCCTGCCCGCCCGCAGTACGACCGCGACTCGAGCCGCGGCTATGGCCGCACGCGTGGTGAGCACGGCTACGGTGGCCGTGGCAAGGACGGTGGCCGCGACTTCCAGCGCCGCGGTCGCCGCGACAGCCACGATTACTAGAGATGGCGTCGACACTACAGTAATAGCTGCATGTAAATCTGAATTCTAAAAGACATCCCCAACATTCCATGCTTCCGCTGCCCCACCTGCCGCCTCAAGGACCCTGGGTCTCGTGCTTCTCGAAGCATCTTTATCGCGGCGAGGCTGCCAAATCTCTGGAATCATAGCGGTAACCAGCGATCTGATTGGTGGCTGTGGGCGAATAAATGGCTTCTGATTGGTGGACATTTGGCTTTTGGCAGCCGCCGACGCAATTTGTTGAGCACCTTGCCTCTCACAACGAATATGGAATATCAAATGCTAGAGGCGGTAGTTGCGATCGTCTATTTTTTATTTGATTGACATGGATGTTGCGCGCGTCCGCCCCGATCCCAGCCGCACAAATAAGCCACAGCAGTAGCAGCGGCCACGTCTCGGGCGCGGCTCTTGTGCCAGACACTAAAACTACTGCGCGCATCATCTAAAGCGCCACGCCACCTTTGCAGATGAAGTCCAACGCTCGTGCTTCCCGCTTGCCGAGCTCAAAGCTCACCACTGTCGCTGCCAAAGCTGGTCCAAAGACAGACGACTACGACTGCGGTGCGGCCTACGAAGAAGTCGATGTCCTCGACGAGCCTTGTGGCTTCATTCGCTCAGATCTCAAGGTCACCTCCACATGCACTGGCGGCACGTCGCGACGCTTCCGGGCGATGTACCGCGCCAGTGTAGCGCAGTTGGCAACCGTGGGCACGACCACGTGGTCCAGCGACCCCGTATGCTCCTAATGCGCTGCTCAAGTTATCAAGATGTTTCGCTTCCTCCCTTTATCTTTGTCTTGCGCTGATTCTAGTTGTACACACGAAGGCATGCACGAGTTTGCGGCAACATGCGTCGCATCATACTCAACGCAAGCGATGAAAGCTTGTCAATCACCTCTCCGAGTGGTGGGGCCTTTCACATACTGAAAGGCCAATGTGAATGGTGTGTCAAGTTGGTAACCAGCGATTCTATTGGTTGTTGGGTTTGGTATCCACGCATTTGATTGGCCATTGCCGGGGCGCTTGGCGCACCAAGCTCCTCATTGGCTGGCATTCGCCACGATGGCAAATAACTAACCGTACATCGTCCGGAATTCGAGCGCCCCCATCCCGGAAAACCTCCGGGCGAATGGCTTTGGAATCCCAGATTATCTGCCACCTCGCCTCTTTATCTCTCGGAGGCAAGCTTTGCAGCCGTGGGGGCAAGCACGATACGCCTGCACGGTGCGTCCTCACGACACCGACGTCGTTAGCCGCCGCTGCAGCGACCACCCATCCACCGCCGCCTCGTCCTCGTACTCGCTGGCAGACGGAAGCACGCGGCCGGCGGGCGGCCTTACTGCATCCCTGAAAACGGAAGGCGCTTTTCGTCCAATCCACATCGTGCTTCTTCTTCTGAAGCATAGGATTGGTTGAAATGTGGCCAATGGCATCGCGCTCGGTCCGGCAACAGAACCACTCGTTCAGCACGCTTCCAGCACTCTCGAGCATCATGTTTCGCCACGTCGCGCGATCGCTGCAGCGCGCCGCCAGCCTCCGCGTCGCGGCCGCGTCGCCGGCGATGCACATGGCGCCCTTCCAACTGCCTGCAACGCGGTACTTTGCGACGCCGCCGTCCCAGCGCGCGCCGACCAAAATGCTCTCGGTGCTCGAAGTCAAGCAGCTCGGGCAGTCGACCAAGCAAGAGATCCTCAAGAAGCACGGCAGCGCCGGCTTCTTCTCGCGCGCCAAGCAGGTACGCCACACGTGGACCGAGTTCTGCGCAAGCACGCCGGCGCCGTCGTCGATGGACTTGCAAATGTTCTTTGCGGCCGCCAAAGCCACGGAAGCCGACTATGTCATCATCGAGTCGCTCCTCCAGCTGCGTGCCAACTACCCAAAGGACGTCAAGATCAAGCACTACATCGAGTCCAAGGTCGCGTTCCTGCGCTCGAAGCGCCTCGAAGCGATGCTCGAGATCTTTGAGGACGAGCGGGCGTCGCACTCGCACCCGCAGGCCATCTTTTACGTCTGGGCGCTCAGCGCGCTCAACGACCTCGGGCAGTTTGACCGCGCGCACGCCCTCCTCGTCGAGATGCGCCACGCCGGCTACATGGTGCCAAACGACACGGTCACGCGCATCATGTACAACCTCGCGCTCGCCAACGACAAGGAAGGAGTCCTTGCGCTCTACGAGCTCGTGGACGCGACCATGGGCATTTGGACGCCCGTGGCGCTCAACCGGCTCATGACGTCGCTCGGGCGCGTCGGCTGCCCGGAAGAAGCCTTTCAGTTCTACTCGCTCTCGACCATGGAGCTCGACCCGTCGACGTTCCGGACGCTGCTCGAAATTTGCGTCCGGAACAAGTGCTTGAAGGAGACAGCCGACGTGCTAAAGAACCGAAGCCTCTTCAACATCACATTGGACGCGAGCGGCTACAACACGATCCTCGAGGCGCTCTTGATCCTCGATCGCGTCGACGAGATCGGCGACATTCTCAACGAGATGGCCGAGCATGGCATCAAGTCGGACTCGAAGACGGAGTTCATCTTGCGTCGGTGCCAGTATGCATCCCGCGCGACGCCCCACAGCAAGCCGTCGATGACCAATGCGTTCAAGTATAAGCAAAAGCGCCATACCAAGTGAGTTAATACATGTGTGTTGTAGTTCGACGGGCCTCAAGGACCCGAGTGCGACACAACTCGACCTCTTTCTGCACCACGAGGACTATGCGTCGGCGTCGACGCTGGCTTCTGAGCTTCTCACCGAGCAAAAGACACCGCTGCACATGCAGACGCTGGATGCAGTCATGCGCGCATTCATCTACGCGGGCGACGACCACAAGGTCGATGCGCTTCTCGCGCATCTGACGACGTCGACGTGGTCGAGCTCGGGCGTCGCGCTGCAAACCGCCATGCGCCACTACGCCAATCGCGTCGCCGACAAAACCGGCAAATTTATGATTGCGGATCCGGACCGCGCAATGGCCGCGTACAAGGCTGCGCGCTTCCAAGGTGTCCCGATGCTCAGCCCCGGGCGGATGTTTCCCGTCTTCCTCTACGTGTGCGACGCCGATGCAGCGATCTACGAGCTCCAGACGTACATGGAGTACCATCTCCGGGACCCGATGAAGGCGCGGCAGATGCGCGAGACCGTCTTCTTTGATACCCTCCGCGTGTGCATCAAGGCGCAGCGCTACGACGACTACGACAAGCTCATCAAGAGTATTGTCGATGCCCAGTACATGCTGTCGCCCAAGGCGTTCCACTCGTTTTGGTTCGACCCGACAAAGTACTCGCTCTTCCAGCGCGGGATGCCGCATCTGTCCGAGAAGCAAAAGCACGACCAGCTCTTGCGCCTCGGCAAGTCGCTCAACGCAAGTCTCCGCCTCCTCATGGACAAGCAGCACTTCGAACCGACGTACGAGATGATTGACGCGGTCGCCAATACACTCTACTACTCGGGGTATCGCTCGACGCTCGCGCAGCTCTACTTGAAAGCGTCGAAATGCGACCATGATGTGCTGCCCGAGCAAACGTACGGCAAGATCCTCGACGTCCTCGTCGTCGGCAAGCGCGTCCCGCACGCCCAAGCGCTGTACGCCGAAGCCAACGCGCGCCTCTCGCACGTGAACCAGCCGTGGCTTCTCGCGGCGCCGATCGCCCAAGGTCTCGCCGACGCGGGCAAGTACGACGCGCTCTTTGCCCACATCGACGCGCACCCGTACCCGAGCGTCTTTCGCAGTGCGCTCCTCGCGCTCTACCCCCGGGCGCCATTGGCGGTCGTCCGCGATGTCCTCGACAAGATGCTCGCAGCCGACCTCGTGCCCAACATGCAACTGGTGCAGCGCGCGATGCTGGCGGCGGTCAAAGCCGGCGAGAAGAAGAACCAAGTGCGCGAGATCCCTGGCTTTGTCAACGCGTTCTTGTCGCCGCTGGAAGCGCGGCTCGTGGTCGATGACGTCGTCCAGCCGACGCTGAGCTTGACCAACTCGAGCGGCCTCACGTCGACAACGGACGTCGACGTTCGCGAACTCAAGCGCACGTACGGCTTTGCGCAAAAGGCTCTCGCGATGACGCAGGACGACAGCGCGATTGCTGCGCACGCCGACAAGATGCGCCGCTGGAGCCTCGCGCCCAAGAGTACCAACTAGACACCACCGACTAGACACTGCAATAGACAATATTCATACGACGACAAGTTGTTCGTGGACAGCTACAACGTAGTAATACGTCGTCCAGTGGAAGGACACATCGAGGCGGTCCATCCGCAAGGTCACTGCGGAGTTGCAAGGGTATATAAGAGGTCTCATCCCTTAGTAGTTGTCAGATCGACATGAACTGCGCCGACGGTATCGACCGCTCGAGGATGCTTGCTGTGACGACAACCTGTCCACCTTTCCCGTCTCCACATTCGTTCAAAAATATAGTTGATGACGGCCTGGCGTCGGCGCCTCGTGCCAACCGCTGGTTTGATCGTCGTGGCTGCAATGCTGCGAGTCGGAAGAGAATGTCATGGTGTCGAGTGGTAGAATGTAAGAGTTGATTACTGGTGGTTATGCTTGTCTCTAGTCTAGATACTAGACTACAACTATCCGAAAGTCTATCTAGTGAATGGGGTTGTTTGCTCTATGGTTTGTCTCATTACATTAGAGCCGCGAAGCAGCTAGCACGAGATTGGGAATATAGAGCCATCAATCGACGGTTCCGGCGCCGTCTCGTCAGAGTCGGCACCAGATCAACATCGAGACTTTGCTATTCAACTGTCCTCCTCGCTTATCCCTCAAGCAGCGTCGTAGATCGACTCGGGGCGACTATTGGAGGTGACTCGGAACACCACCACTGTGCAGATAGCGCTCACGAGTCCAGTTGGGAAATGATCACACTCTCGACTGCAATTGCAGCGGCCTTAGTAGGAACCAGTCATTTCAATCGCCCAATCAGCGCCGAGTGTCGCTTCGTATCCGGCAACGGCATCCGGATAAACCCCACAAGACCCGCGATTTCCCGCCATGCGACCGCGACCATTGGAATGACCTTTGTCCCGCCCTAGCTACGGACATACCTCGTCGATGGAAGCGCAGAGAGACGTGAAGAAGACTCGAATGGCTGGTTGAGACTGGGCGCCTGGGCCCACATACTCTACCATGGCCTGGAAGAGACTCGTCGGAGATGCGACGCTGCAATCGCTCTCATGGCGACCGTGCAAGCAGACGAGCGAGCGGTGCAAAGCGCAAGGGTTTATGAATGCATACACTGAGCGCGCTTGGCTCGAAGCTATGCTAGAGACTCGTAGGAGTACCGGCATTATATGGCGTACTCGTATAGCTCTAAGCTGATGGCTGTCAAAACCGTATACGAGTCCTATTTTGGTACACTTGAATGGGCGTGTGCGCGTCCGAGCTCAAGTACTTGGTGCGCCCGGCCAAGGTCGACCAAACCTTGACTCTGCTCGTGCGGCACGCTGTCGAGGGCCGCGTCGACGACGTCCGCGCCATGCTCCAGCGCAAGCCTAAGCTCGTCAAGGCCGTCGACGTATGTGAACTACTCCAGCTACCATACTCTCAGGTGGCCCTTCTACATAGCGCTTTGGCATGTCGGCGTTGCATTGGGGTAGATCCATCGTCGATCGCCTTTATGATGTTTTGTTGTGAATTAGCGTGTTATGCGGGCAAGCTCCCGTGCGTCACGGCGCTCCTCGAGGCCGGCGCCAACGTCCAGCAGACCGACGTACGGCGCGATGACACCTTGTACATGTACTACCTTATGAGAGTAGACTAATATGCGCAACGCGCTCCACCACGCGTGTCGAAAAGGCCATCTCGGGACGATCCAGCTTCTCTTGACCACGTACCGCATGGACGTCAACCGCCAGAGCGTAGGAAGCCGCGCTCGGACTCATCGTCGACCAAAATTGTACTAGGGCAATGGCGACACACCCTTGCACAAAGCAGGTAGTACTACGACGTCTTGCATCACGACCTGGAAGAAGACACGAGAATAGTGTTGGCGGGGTCGCCAGGCGCGACGCTCCTCCTCCTCTACTACGGCGCCGACCCCACGCTACAAAATTCGGTACTGGCAACGTCTCATTGCGATAATATCAGATCTGATAGCACCACATTTAGAACTGTGAGAATGCAGTGCAAGAAGTGCAGGCCAAGATCGCGCAGACGATCGCGCGCAGTCGACGCAACCCCGGGGCGGTAATCGCGGCGCCGATGGCGTCAATGGCTGCCGTCGTCCAAGCCTCGACGACGCTCGAGCCGCATCATGAAGGCACCGTCAATGAGACCTCGAACAACACTGCTGAATCCGAGGCCGAGGCCACGGCGGTCGAGCCCTTTCACGAAAAACCCACGCCGCCCGTGTCGCTGCAAGCCGCCAAGCGGTCGACCAAGCGGCTGCTGCGGGCGTCCACGACCAAAGTCATTCTGAGCATCCGCCAAAAGCAGGCGCTCGGGCAGTACGAGCTCATTGCGCACATCTTTACCGTCTACACCGAAAAGGCGACGCGACCGACGGCTGGCATCGAGTGGCGCCGGCTCCTCGAAGAGTATACACCCGTACGTTTATAATTGCAAGCAATCTTATTCCTACGACAACGACGACGCCTGCGCTAAATGCGTGAGCTGCGCTTCGACGCTGCGCAAATTGTGCTCGTACGCACTGCCGCGGGCGTAAAACCAGTCGACAAACCGCAGCGCAATCTCGACTTTGGTCGTCATCTCGTTGGATACGCTTGCGACGGCCGCGATCTTGCTCTGGAGCGACAATAGGGCGGCCTCGGTTGCGACCTATCCAAGTATCCAGCATTATACTACTATCCGAATGCGATCCTACCTTGGTCTGCAGTGTCGAGGTCAGCGCGTTCGTTGCGGAAACGACATCACTCCGGTTCGCCTTTCGCGCCACCTATC